ATAATTCGTTTAATTGTAAATTAAACCCTAACCACTCATTTGTCAACCCAAACCGATATCTAATTTCGTTTTAATTATAAAATCTAAACCCTAACCACTCATTTGGCAACCCAAACCGACATCTAATTTCGTTTTAATTATAAAATCTAAACCCTAAACCCTAAACCCTAATCGATATCTAATTTAGTTTTAATTATAAAATCTAAACCCTAACCACTCATTTGGCAACCCAAACCGACATCTAATTTCGTTTTAATTGTAAAATCTAAACCCTAAACCTTAAACCCTAAATCTATTTTGCGATTTCTTTTTTTTTTAATTGTGTTTCTTTTCTTTTTAATTCTCTAGTTTTAATAATGACATGACAAAACAATTGGCTATAATCTGTTGGGTGAATTTAAAGGTTCACCCCAGGAGTAAACCTAAGTATGGTTCAACGAATGCATGCACTGCATTCCATTGGAGGGGCGTTACCAAGATATGCTTTGACCATTTATGTTCATCGGAATCCTCTAAAACCCACAACACGAAACCATCATCATAGTCTTGAGTATCAACTAAACCTAGTTTACCCTTGTAGTTTATCAGAGTAGAAGTTCGCTTCATTAAATAGAATTTCTCAGGTCTCCGGGTTATAAAATCGAATTTCTCAGACCTAACATTAAAGCAGACGATAATACTATCGTTGGCAGATGCTGTGTAATACAAAACACCATTGATGCATATCTCATCATTTCGAGGAGAATAAGAAATGCAACATGGGATCTTTCTCCACCAGAGTTTCTCAGTCCCTAATGTGAGAACTTGATGCTGAAGAGTTCCACGATGCGACCAAGTTAAACACAATACCTTGAATTTGTTTCCAATTGGATCATACCCAAAATAGTTTTTTGCCTCGATCCCGTCCGTTTTTACTTTGGGTGAGGTTACAGATTCTCCTGTGATGGGATTAGAAATCACAGACACTATATGATTCTCTTCCATTCGTTGATGACAAACCAGTCCACGTAAAGGAAGACAGACTTTAGAGACATCTGTGTTACGAGAACATGTGTGATGAAGCGTGGCTGCAAGAGAAGAGTTGTTAATTTGTTATCAGGTTTTTGAGGCTCAGGTGCCGAGTAGAAGTAGAGCTTTTCTCCAGCTACGAAGGTGAAAAGGAGTCTCGGTGGTGGATCCGGAGAGTTGATCGGGAACAACTGATTGTAATTTGGACGGCGAATTATCGACGACCAGAGGTTACATACACAACGAGACTGAGCCATATACTTGCCGGAAAATAACCTCGACAAGATTTTGATGACCAGATCAACAGGGATCCGATCAAAGTATTCTTCTACAGATCGCTTATTGGGTCCGGAGGATGATACGGTTAGGGTTAGGTTTTCCTCTGTGACTTGCTGCTTACGTTTTCTCATCGGTCTAGATTTTGAGGTTAGGTTTTCCATTGTGACCTCCTGCTTACGTTTTCTCATTGCCTTCTCTGCTTGGCGTCTGTTGGCGATTTCAGCATCTCCACATCCTATGGCTTTAATGAGTTGGGCTTTGTAACGCCGTAACCAATTTGGGCTTTGTAACGCCGTAACCAATTTGGGCTTTGTTAAGGCCCAATAACTACTTTCAAGATAAAGACGCAACTAGATGAGTGGGAGGGAATCGATCGATGCCGTGCCGACTAAAAAAATTAAAATAAGAATATTGGTCCGAATTAAAACTTGTTCGATTTTGTAGCTCTTCCTCTCGTAATCTCTCTTCTTCTTCTTCTTCTTCTTCTTCTTTCAGACAGAAGCTTGCCTTTGTCCGAATTTGAGGTTTCCATTTTTCTTTACCTTCTTCCTTCAATCAAATAATCGAAACCCTAACCTCTTGATCAGGTGATAATTTCTCTCTCTTTTATGCTTGTTGTTTCTTCCCTAATCCTTGCATAATTATTTGTTTCCTGTTGCTGTGCTTGTTCTAAGAATTTTTTATTTAGAGATTTATAGATGTGATTTTATTCTCTGATCTGAATAAAGCTCTTTTTTTGTTTGTTTAAATATATATTTTGGATTTTTTTTCCAGAAGAAAAGTAACTCCAAAAGTGTTATTTTATTCCGTAGAAATTGAAATCGATTTTAGATCCAGAGAGATTATATTGTTGTTTTTGATTTTAATTTTGGAATCCTATAAATATGTTTACTTAATTGAGAGTTTTGCAGAAAATGGTTTCTTTAGTATTTGTTTATGAATGAATCAGATGCTATGAAGCTCGTTTGATTTATCTTGATCAGATATTACTAGGATCACCAGTGTCACTTTTTACGTTATGTAACTTGAAATCATTTTTGGACTCATAATTCTTAATTTCTGTTTTTGTTCTCAGGCCTTGGTCGATTTGCTTTCCCTTGTAATAACTTAAGGTTCATGTCTGATCTTGAAGTTCAAGTCCCCACTGCCTTTGGTAAACTTTGATCTGAAATTATTAACCTCTGAGGTTGAAATTTGTTGAGAATATGATGAATATCATGTGTTGGTTTTTTTCTTCTTCTTGGTGATATAAAGATCCTTTTGCTGATGCAAATGCTGAGGACTCTGGGGCGGGAACAAAGGAATACGTGCACATTCGTGTTCAGCAGCGTAATGGTAGAAAAAGCTTGACAACTGTCCAGGGACTTAAGAAAGAGTATAGCTATAGCAAGATACTTAAAGACCTTAAGAAAGAATTCTGCTGCAATGGCACTGTCGTCCAGGACTCTGAATTAGGACAGGTGTGTTTTCCTTAAGACTTTATCAGATCTTCTATAGTATCAACAAGCTACCAAGACTTGATAGAGAAACATTTTGGATTGCTTTTAGTAGCTAAATGACTTACCTTTTGTTGTAGGTTATTCAGCTTCAAGGCGATCAGAGGAAGAACGTCTCTACGTTCCTTGTTCAGGTAATCATCATTTTTTCGTCTTATCGGTTAGTGGTTTTGAAGTTGGTTTTGTTGTGAAAAGATGGAAACATTGTACGTATCCTGATCTTACAAATGTTTTGAATCAGGCTGGGCTTGTGAAGAAGGATAACATCAAAATCCATGGTTTTTGAGCAATTCTAGAGATACTCGTTGTTCAACTTGTATTTACCGAATCAGCCAGTCCCAAAGGAAGTATAAAACTTTACTTTGTTGTTATTAATGCTTTTATTATATATTGTGTCAGAAAAAAAATCTAAAAGGTTGCTTATGAGTGAATATATAAATGTATCAACTTTTGGTTTGCATTTGTAGTGTGAGATTATCAATAAAATTTGCTTTGTGAATTGGATGATGATGATCTTTTATGACTAGCAATACAATGCGAGAACCGAGTGCTAAACCGGACACGAGAGGAGGTTTACGGTCTGATGCATAAACCAAACCGGTTTGTGAACCATTTTGCAGATTTGCTCGTGTGCTCTTATCGGCGGCAAGAAATAATTGTTGATGTACGGAAAATCGCAGACACGTGATTAGGACTCATATAATAGTAGTATGCTAAGTCATTTATATTCCATAGTAATAATTCTTTTTATACAGAAATATAACCAACAACAGAAATAATCACTTGAAAATGGTTAATTATCCTACATCCTTCATGTTGATTTTGAGCCTAAAGAATAACTTTTTTTCTTCTTTTTTTTTTTTTTTTTCAATGTTGATTACAATAAATCTAAATGAAGTAAATTAGTCAATCTCTCATCATCCGGCGATTCAGAGTAACAAGAATGAATTCTCTTATTATCAGCTGAAAATGGTTAATCATCCTACATCCTTAGTTGATTTTTATGGAGCCTCAAAAATAATGTTTTTTTCTGTTATTTATAAGGTTGATTACAATGAATCTAAATGAAGTGAATTAGTCAGCTTCGTAACTTTTGGCAACATTTACTATTTGGATGTAAAATTACATCTAAATAATTTTGTCAACTAAAAGAAGAAAAACAATTAAGCTTGGTAACATTTTGGACAGAAGTAATTAAGGTGTAAATTAAAATCAAATGTTTTTTTTTTTTGTTTCAAGAAAATTAATTTTAAAAAAATCAGAAATTCCGTAATTAAAAATAGGAAGCTGAAATAGAGAAAGAGGGTAAAAAGGTAAACGGAAATTGCTGCGTTGGTTTTGTGTTGCAGAGTCCGGAGAGACTGAAGGAAACAGAAAGAGAGAGAGAGAGAGAGAGAGAGAGAGAGAGATTACCTTACCATTACCCTTTGTCTTCCTTCTTCTTCTCCCTCCAATTTTTTTTTTCTTCTTCTGTTTCGATCTCTCTCTCTCTCTCTCTCGTTTAGCCACCCCACCAAGCTTTTTTTGTTGTTGTTTTTGTTCGTTCCTCAGGATCGCTGATTTTTTTACCAAAAAAGAAAACGCGTTTCTTCGTGTAGATCATGAACGACCCTCCCGATTTCAGGTAATTCTCGCTCGCGATAAAATTTTTTCCAATCTCTGTCTCCTTTTAACCTCAATGACGTGATCTTCTTCACAAGGGATTCTCAATGTCTTGTGTTACAAGTTTTGGGAATTATTTCGGATATATTTCATTTCTGGATTCCATATGGATTTTTTGATAACCTAAATTCAGATTTTATCTCCATTATACAGATCATAATTTTGTTTTGAAAACAATTGGCAGTATCATCAAGAACAATTAACGACGATTGAAGGTGAAGAAAAATGGCTCGTCGTAGAATAAGATCAAGGATTCGTAAAAGCCATTTCTATACATTTCGATGTCTTAGACCTAAAACTCTTGAAGATCAAGGACCTCATGTTATCAATGGACCTGGTTACACCAGAATCGTTCATTGTAACCAGCCTCATTTGCATTTGGCTTCTAAACTCATTAGGTACCGTTCAAACTATGTATCCACTACTAGGTACAACTTGCTCACTTTCTTACCTAAATGCTTGTACGAGCAATTCCACCGCGTCGCAAACTTCTATTTCCTCGTTGCTGCCATTCTCTCTGTCTTTCCTCTGTCTCCGTTTAACAAATGGAGCATGATTGCTCCTTTGGTATTCGTTGTCGGGCTTAGTATGGGGAAAGAAGCCTTGGAGGATTGGCGAAGGTTTATGCAAGACGTTGAGGTCAATTCAAGAAAAGCTAGTGTTCACAAAGGGAGTGGAGATTTTGGTCGCAGGGCGTGGAAAAGAATCCGTGTTGGAGATATCGTAAGGGTTGAGAAAGACGAGTTCTTCCCCGCTGATTTGCTCTTATTGTCATCGAGTTACGAGGATGGGATTTGTTATGTTGAGACGATGAATTTAGATGGTGAAACTAACTTGAAAGTTAAGAGATGTTTGGATGCTACTTTAGCATTGGAGAAGGATGAATCCTTTCAGAACTTCTCTGGAACGATAAAATGCGAAGATCCGAATCCGAATCTGTATACTTTTGTTGGTAATCTTGAGTGTGATGGCCAGGTTTATCCACTTGATCCTAACCAGATTCTTTTGAGAGACTCAAAGCTTAGGAACACGGCTTATGTTTATGGTGTTGTGGTTTTTACTGGCCATGACACAAAAGTAATGCAGAATTCAACAAAGTCTCCTTCAAAGAGAAGCAGGATTGAAAAGAGAATGGACTACATTATATACACTCTCTTTGCACTTCTCTTGACTGTTTCCTTCATCAGCTCTCTGGGATTTGCTGTGATGACAAAACTTTTAATGGCAGATTGGTGGTATTTGCGACCAGACAAGCCTGAGAGCTTGACAAATCCTTCAAATCCTTTGTACGCTTGGGTTGTTCATTTGATCACTGCTCTCTTGCTTTATGGTTACTTGATTCCCATCTCGTTGTATGTTTCCATCGAGGTAGTGAAAGTCTTGCAAGCACATTTTATAAATCAAGACTTGCAATTGTATGATAGTGAGAGTGGGACTCCGGCTCAAGCACGCACGTCGAATTTGAATGAAGAGCTGGGACAAGTTGATACTATCCTTTCTGATAAAACAGGAACTTTGACATGCAATCAGATGGACTTTCTGAAATGCTCAATTGCGGGTACTTCTTACGGTGTCCGTGCCAGTGAAGTAGAACTAGCTGCTGCTAAGCAGATGGCGATGGATCTTGAGGAGAAAGGTGAAGAAGTTACAAACCTTCCTATGAATAAAGTCAGGACACAACGCTACTCAAAACTGGCTAGCAAGACGTCATCAGATTTTGAATTGGAGACTGTAGTCACTGCTAGCGATGAAAAGGACCGGAAGCAGAACACTGGTGTTAAGGGGTTTAGTTTTGAAGATAACCGTTTAATGAATGAAAACTGGTTAAATGAGCCTAATTCAGATGACATTTTGATGTTTTTCCGTATACTGGCGGTTTGCCATACAGCTATTCCTGAGGTGGATGAAGATACTGGAATGTGTACTTATGAAGCTGAGTCTCCTGATGAAGTTGCTTTCCTTGTTGCTTCTAGGGAGTTTGGTTTTGAGTTTACTAAGAGAACTCAATCAAGTGTGTTTATAGCTGAACGATTTTCATCTTCAGGCCAACCAGTTGATAGGTAAGACTTTGAATCTTTCAATTTTTTCCATTGATCTTTGCATATAGATGTCTAATCATGTGGAGGTTATTTTACAGAGAGTACAAAATCTTAAATCTGTTAGACTTCACCAGCAAAAGAAAAAGAATGTCTGCCATTGTCAGAGATGAGGAAGGACAGATTCTTCTTCTCTGTAAAGGCGCTGACAGGTTTGATTGCATAACTTCAAGCCAGTCCCAGTTTCTTAATTCTCACTTCTTGTAACCACAATTTAATGTTTTTTGCCTGCAGCATAATATTTGACCGTTTATCAAAGAATGGAAAAGAGTATCTGGGAGCTACTTCCAAGCACTTGAATGAATACGGTGAAGCAGGTTTACGCACATTGGCACTCGGTTACAGAAAGCTGGATGAGACCGAGTATTCAGCATGGAACACTGAGTTTCACAAAGCCAAAACTTCAGTTGGAGCTGATAGAGATGAAATGCTCGAGAAGGTTTCAGATATGATGGAGAAGGAACTGATCCTTGTTGGAGCTACTGCTGTGGAGGACAAACTGCAAAAAGGGGTATGAATCATAGTTTAATTGTGATCAATATAAAGACGCGGCTTTTCGAAAATCATGTTCAACTTACTGTTTGTCGTTCACTTTAGGTGCCTCAATGCATAGATAATCTTGCCCAAGCTGGTCTCAAGATATGGGTTTTGACAGGAGATAAGATGGAGACAGCAATAAACATAGGGTTTGTTCTTCTTTGTTACTGATACCACAGACTCCTAAACTGTTTCTGACTAGATTCATTTCTCTAAAAACTAAGTGAACTAATTGAGATCTTTGGTTGGCAAAATGCAGATATGCCTGCAGTTTACTGCGACAGGGTATGAAGCAGATATGCATTTCACTTACAAATGTAGAGGAATCATCACAAAACTCTGAAGCTGTATGTATTATGTCGATGCTATAATTAAAAACCAACATTTACTGTTTTCAGTAGAATCTTGCATGTGATACCAAAACTTGTTATTGGTCTCAGGCTGCAAAGGAGAGCATTTTGATGCAGATCACAAATGCTTCACAGATGATTAAAATTGAAAAGGATCCACATGCAGCATTTGCTTTGATCATTGATGGAAAGACACTTACATATGCTTTGAAGGATGATGTCAAGTATCAGTTCCTTGCCCTTGCAGTGGACTGTGCATCAGTGATCTGCTGTCGTGTCTCTCCCAAACAGAAAGCACTTGTAGGAATAGCTCCACAATTCTTAAAACATCTTTATTGGTTTCAGAACAGTACCATATTTTTGTGTATTTTGGTTTTTGTAGGTAACAAGGCTAGCCAAAGAAGGAACAGGAAAAACAACTTTGGCAATTGGTGATGGTGCAAATGACGTTGGAATGATTCAAGAAGCTGATATTGGTGTTGGCATCAGTGGCGTTGAAGGCATGCAGGTGCTTCAAAAAAAAATCTTCAGCACATTGAGACATGGTTAAGTTTTGCTGGTTTTTCTGAGAAAATTTGGTTCTGTTTCTTTGCAGGCTGTAATGGCAAGTGACTTCTCCATAGCTCAATTTCGGTTTCTCGAGAGACTACTTGTTGTCCACGGACATTGGTGCTACAAACGAATAGCCCAGATGGTAATATATGCATTGATATAACTCGCCAGACAACGTATATATATTATATATACCTGATCTTGATTCGCAATTGTTGGTTTCACAGATTTGTTATTTCTTCTACAAGAACATAACCTTTGGTCTAACTCTCTTCTACTTCGAAGCCTTTACCGGGTTTTCTGGTCAATCAATATACAATGACTCCTACTTATTACTCTTCAACGTTGTTCTCACTTCTCTCCCGGTCATTTCCCTCGGAGTTTTTGAACAAGATGTTCCTTCTGATGTCTGCTTACAGGTTATATATAAAGTCCTCTCCATTAGATCTTTCACATTAACAAAAAAACTTCTTCTTGAATCTTGATTCATTTCTTGGCCTGTTTTCTTTTTCTAGTTCCCTGCATTGTATCAACAGGGCCCCAAGAACCTCTTCTTCGACTGGTACAGAATCCTTGGATGGATGGGGAATGGAGTTTACGCATCCATAGTCATCTTTGCACTGAACCTTGGAATCTTCCATGTCCAATCATTCCGCTCAGATGGCCAAACCGCAGACATGAATGCTATGGGAACCGCCATGTTCACATGCATCATCTGGGCAGTAAATGTTCAAATCGCTCTAACCATGAGTCACTTCACTTGGATCCAACACGTAATGATTTGGGGAAGCATAGGAGCTTGGTACGTCTTCCTCGCTCTTTACGGTATGTTACCAGCAAAGCTCTCCGGCAACATCTTTCACATGCTCGTCGAGATTCTAGCCCCTGCTCCTATTTTCTGGCTTACTTCACTACTGGTCATAGCCGCCACAACGCTTCCTTACTTGTTCCACATTTCATACCAAAGATCAGTGAACCCTCTTGACCATCACATTATACAAGAGATAAAACATTTCAGGATCGATGTAGAGGATGAGAGAATGTGGAAACGAGAGAAGTCAAAGGCGAGAGAGAAGACAAAGATTGGGTTCACGGCTCGGGTCGATGCTAAGATCAGGCAGCTAAGAGGGAGGCTTCAAAGGAAGCATTCGGTGTTAAGTGTTATGAGTGGAACATCGTCTAATGATACACCTTCTTCAAGCTCACAACAGACTTGATGATTGAGACCAAGTAAGTTTTGTTTAACCACTTAATATTTTTCCCGAGAAAAAAATCATCAGATGGAGAAAGTTGGATTCAAGTTAGATGAAAGAAAGAGACTCTTGTTTTATTTTCCTTACTAATCAAATGGTTTATACAACTATTAGACAAAGGTAGAAGAAAGAGGGGAATGTTGTATCGTGTTTGTGTGTGTAAACTAGTAGTACTAATGAAAAGAAGAAAAAAAAGAGATTTCTAAGTGACAAGTTTGACATATAGTTATGTTTTTTTCTTACAAATGGATTCACCAAAAGAAGATTAGCTTTGGTAAAGCTTTTTAAGTACTTTTATTACCGAAATTGAAAAATAAATGTTTGCAAAGTAATGAACCAAAACTCTTTACAACTTCTTACTGTATGGAATTATAGCAAAACCTGACTTCCCAGTGAAAGATTTCTAAGTGACAAAACCGTAAAACATGTATAGTGTTGCTATGACTAGACTTGTGATTACGAAAGATTTGTGGATCATACAAGAGAAGAAATAAATATTGCATGTGACTAAAAAGAAAAATGGTCAGAAGCGACATATATATGTTCGATAGAGTTGATGAAGAATACTAGAGAATGAAAAAGATGTATCGATGATTCAGAGAGCGAGAGAGACAGAGAAACGGGTCAAAAATCAAATAAGAAACTTGCGAAACAAGCAACCTTTCTTCTTTTCTTCTTCTTCTTCACAGCAAATCGGCCACGTTTGAGGGAAGCTCCTCAACAACAACATTGTAGAATTTCTGAATATCAAACAGCATTCTCTCATCATCACGAGTAATGAAGTTAATGGCCACACCCTTTCTCCCGAACCTTCCACTTCTTCCGATACGGTGAAGGTAATTCTCTGGCTGAGTTGGGAGGTCAAAGTTTATGACCAGAGAGACTTGCTGCACATCGATACCACGAGCCAAGAGATCAGTCGTGATTAGAACACGAGAAGAACCAGACCTGAATTCTCTCATGATGATGTCTCTTGTGTTTTGGTCCATGTCTCCGTGAGTTGCTGAGACTGTGTGGTCACGGCTTCTCATTTTGTCTGTGAGCCAGTCGACCTTGCGACGAGTGTTGACGAAGATGACACTCTGAGTGATGGCTAGAGTCTCATAGAGATCGCAGAGAGTCTCAAGCTTCCACTCTTCTTTCTCCACGTTCACGTAGAATTGCTTGATACCTTCAAGTGTGAGCTCATCACGTTTCACCAAGATTCTCACTGGTTTGCTCATGAATTTCCTTGTGATCTCCAGAGCTTCCGGTGGCATCGTTGCTGAGAACACTCCAACCTGAATCTTTGGTGGGAGAAGCTGGAATATGTCATAGATCTGCAAATCCATTAGAAAACAACATGATAACCAAGTCAATATCATAGCTCCATAACCATACTAGGGAAAGATTCAAACTTGGTAAAGTAAAGGCAAACCTGATCCTTGAAACCACGGGAGAGCATTTCATCAGCTTCATCAAGGACAAACATCTTGATGCAGTCAGGGCGAAGAGATTGTCTTCGAAGCATGTCAAACACACGACCGGGAGTTCCAACGACAACATGAACACCAGCCTGGAGAATGCGCTGATCCTCACGGACGCTGGTTCCACCAACACAGGCATGAACTTTGACGCCTTGGTAATCACCAAGGGCACGCATGACCTTCTCAATCTGCTGAGCAAGCTCTCTGGTGGGAGCCAAAACGAGAGCCTGGCACTGGACAAGGGTATAGTCAAGCTGCTGCAAGACACCAGAGCAGAAAGTGGCGGTTTTTCCAGTACCAGACTGTGCCTGCTGGATCACATCAAGACCCTTGCAAAAGGGTACAATCCCTCTTTGCTGAATAGCTGAAGGCTTTTCGAAACCTAGAAAAAAAATCAACAAATCAATCACGGGAAAGAGCACATAGGATAAAGTTTAAAGGAATCCCAACAGAAAACACAAAAGGTTGTTAATATAAATCTTCTTCACTTACCATAAGCATAGATACCCCTGAGAAGGTTCTCTTGCAAACCCATGGCATCAAAGCTCTCATGGACCTCATCATATGAGGTGAAGAACTCATCCTGTCCCTCGAGTCTGCACCCAAACAAACAATAAGATTAGCAAATACAAAAAAAATCTCATCAAAACGTAGTAATGAAACTAAAGATCTTAAGACTTACACTTCATTCAGCTTCTGGTCAAACTGACGCGTATCAAATTGTGTACCTTCTGCTGCAGATCCTGCCATACTAGAACAAAACACAACAGAAATAATAAAATTAGACCCCAAATAGCTAAAGATAATGACCAACAAGCCACTCTTCATATCTATCCAGTGAGAGAGAGATGTGCAAAAGTAAGAATGTAACAGAATAGCCAAACTTGAAGTTCCATATAGAGAGGAACACAAGCATTAATATCTGAATTGTTAGATGTCAGGAGAGACATAGGAATATGGTTCATCCAATAATCATAACAGATACCATTCAAATATCTATCTCTCCATATGATAAACACAAGAGTGTCCAAAATCAAAGAGAGAACCTTTGGATGATTTTAACATAAAGAGTCGACAATCAAAACCTAACCCATCTCGATTATCAATAAAGGAATTGAAGGGTTTCAGCGACTAATTGAATTCCGATGATGATATTACAGATTTAAAAGCATCAAATTTTGAACAAAATCCATCGCAAAGACACTAAATCAGACTCGAGATCCAATCATCGTTCATAAAGAAAAAGGAACAAATCGCAGAGAAAAGTGAGAGAAAGATAATTCCGAACCTGTGAGGTCAAGTAGTTGAATGAAAGATGAAAGCTTTGAGAGCAAAAGTGAAGGACTTTGTTAGATAGCTTGAAATCTCCCGAACTCGGATCTGGTAGAGAGATAAAGAGACGATGGAAGCAAATAATAAAAATTGAGGTAGAGAGAGACCTAACCCGATACGTGTTAGCCACTTTTTATAGTCTCCCTTTTTTTTTTTTTTAATTAGGGTTTTCTTACTTTTCCTATTTTCTATATTTCCAATTTTGCCCCTGCTCTCCTCTTTTCGATTTGAGATTTTCTCAACTCTTCACACTTTTCCTAAATTTCGTAGGAAAATATTGTTACCAATCAACTTTTTATTTTTTATTTTTTTACCAATCAACTTTCTTTACACCAATGTCAAAAGAGACTATGAATGGCAATTGCATACTTAACACACAAGAGAAAATATCAAATCACAATCACAAGTATTTTATTTCCATACGCCAATAGTACCAAACTTTTAGAAAAAAAGACCAAATTTTCTTTTGGAAAGCTTATTCTTTCCAGCACCTTTTGATGCTTTCTGACGTAGCAAAGCATTCTCAAGACTCAATAGACACGTCATTCTTTTTTAGAAAAAAAAATTAAAAAAATGCTAACCAAATGTTTTATGAACAAAACGGTGAACATTAGTTCCCCATAACCCTTTATATAAGAACTACAAAAACAGAGCTGAATTTGGTTAGTTAAGTCAAATGAAATCAGTTCTCTAAATTGAACCAATCAAGATATATACTTTGGTTTACCATCGTCTCTACTAGTAGACCTCTTTACCGTAGAAAAAGCCCTTCCCCAAGAGCACCTGCAAGAAACAAATCAAAAGTCACTGATGATCATGGCGATGATGAAGATCACGAATTGATCGGTTTCTTGAGATTACATTGTTGGTGGATTTCTAAGCATAACTGAAGCATCGTGTGGCTTTCTTCAACCAACTTTTGCATCCGTTCTTCTTCTTCGACTGCCTCTGCTGCTATCAACCTTTTGTTATCTGACTCTGCTAGTTTCCATTGCTACAACTTCTGGTGCTACTTCCATCACTTTGTTTTCTGAGATCTTGTAGCCATCTAATAATACCTGCATTTTGCAATAATAATAACCCGAACTTGACATTTACTAATAAACATGTCTAATTGATCTTGTTATAATAGAGAATGGTGCATCAATATATAACCACACTGTTGAGTGGAAAAAATAAAATAAAAAAAACTTTTCCAGTTTGCCTTGAGAAACGAGAATTGTCAGGCACTCACTCAAAAACATCCTAAAGTCTTGTCGCTCCTCGTACCAGTCCTGAAATTGATCAACCAGGATCATATCTTTTGATGCTTTATACTGTAAATTGGATGTAATTAACAAGAGTAAGATTACGTCATTTTCTTTTGCCAACTCATTGATTCGTTCTGCTACTCTATTTAATTTGCTGCTGCGTCTATCTCCTGTGTTTCTTTTGATGTTGTTAATATCACAGAAGTACTTGGTAGCTCTGGTGGCTTCTTGGAATCTTTTGGACACAAGGTGAGTGTTGGCTTCATTGCTTTCGTAACTGAGATTTTGTAACGATTTCGTACCTGCATTTGTAAAGTAATTTTTGAGTTTATCAAATAATATAACTCAAGTTTATTATTGCTACATCTTGTCATATAGATGTTGGGGGTATGGAGAAAAGTAGATAGGCTTGTGGCAAACCACACATCAAGAAAACAAAACTAGTTACCTTTTTGAGTTTGTCTTGAGAAACAAGGATTCTCAGGCTATAACTCAACAGTCTCTTAAAGTTTTGTGGAACCTCATGTTGTTCCTGCAATTGATCAACCACAAAGATTAACTTCCAACTGGATTCGATGTTATGGTTGAACGTAAATATGAGGGATATCCAAATGATTTTTTGCAAAGCTTGAACCAGGATACAATAGAGAAACCTAGAGAATATAACGTAATGCAGCAGCATTGGTGAAGGCAAAGGATTCATGCTTGGAGTAAAATGTTATAAGGAGGAAAATGGAAACCACACTTTAAGAATTTTTCCAGAGTCTGCATTTCTTGACCATTTTTGTAAAGTTGCGGTAACTGAGCGCAACAAATAGGTTCCAACAGGCGGTTGGTAATGCTAATCAAATGGTATCGGAATATTTGCAGTTATCATGGCTGTGGTAGACTACTCACAACTAACTGTCAGATAATAAAAATCCGTATGCTCTATATTCCATTGTGATCAGTTATAGACTCACTTCAGAGTTCAGACAAAGATACAATCTATCGACTTGGTTCAGTTGAAAACTTAGCTTTTGTATCCAGAAAAAAAAAAAAAAAAAAAAAAAAAAAAAAAAAAAAAAAAAAAAAGAGTATAATGAGACCCAAGGAAATAACTCCGACAAGAAATTGAGAGAAACTAACTAATGAATGTCAAATATAAACCATGAAAACAAAGAATTTAATGTATATATCCTCTTCACCTCGACAAAGCTGAGAATCTCCTTGAGATTAGAACCATTTTCATCATTAATTGTTGATATAGCCTCAAAAACCATTGCATCATACCTTGCAATAAGGTAAATGAGAAGATGTCAGCAGAAGCTGTTAAAACCTAGAGAAAAATACAGGAATCAAAGAACATTCCAGTTTAAAATATCTCCATATATAACAAACCTAGTATCATTGCTCATATCTGATGAACTACTTAGAAAAGGCTTATTGCTAACAACAGCGCACGAGAAGTCTTTGAAGGTGAAGTGAAAATGGAGGTAGATTCGAGTGTATGTGTCCTTGATTTCTTCATATTACGCCATTTATCCTTGCAATTACGCAAGAATAGTAAACAAGACAACATCAATCCAACATTAGATACCCAAATTTCGAAGCTAACAGATTCTCTTAATTACCTTTGTTCATGTATATATATATACTATAGTTGCATATATTAATGCTTCAGAAGATTTGTTGTACCTTTGGTATTGTTGATTCCCACACAACAGTGTATATATATATATATATATATGCTCATATGTTCTACAAAAACTGACTCTAGTCAATAATATTTGATTCTCTTACATTCTACTTACTTCTTGATACCACATATGGTCCATAAAAACTGACTTTGGTCATTGATATTTGATTCTGTTACATTCTACTTGTTGATACATAACATTATAGTTTTTTTTTTTTGTTTATCTACTTATTTGGGTCGTCTAGAGAGTGGAAAAGAGACCCTTTGAGGAGTTTGGCTTGGAAGGTCTGATGCTTGTTGTTGTTGCTGTTGTTGTTCTTGAGAGGACTGTCCAGGATCTGTCATTTCTTCATCGTCTTCGGTTTCTTCAGGTTCTGTGGAAACTGACTTCTTTGGTATCACGAGCTGGTAATTTGGGCTCAGCAATGTGTCCTGTTCAGGTGGGAGTGGAACACCAGGTCCTGCTATCGATTTTGGCAGAGGGATCTTGTTCCTGCTTGCAGCAAGCTCTAATAGAACCTAAACCAAACATCAAAAACATAAACTTCAAGATTCAGGAACCAAACGGCATGAATTTGAAAAACGAAAACATTTAAAGTTCTCAGCAATGCAACTTATGTGGCGAGAGGGTCACAGTTCACAAGTCATAACTAAGAGTGATAAATCCCTAATGATTCACATAGCAACTAACAAATCATATCGTGAAACAAGGAATCGTCAACAATGCATACCTCTCTTGAAGGTGGCTGTGAGAAGCTGAAATTAACTTTGGATTGAATAGCGAGCTTGACATCATCGCAGTCAATGTTGGATTTGCTAGCATGCTCTGAGTAAACCTGAGCATCTGTCAAGACTTCGACCACATACCGGTACCATAACTCCAGAAACTGGTGAATCACACGAGGCTCGTAGTCTTCTACACCCATCGACTTAAGCAAAGATTTCACAGTCTTAGCATGTCTAGGTACATCTTCTTCACCTTCTCCAGCCATTTTTATCCCTAAACAAACTCAAAAAAAGTAAAGCTACAGAGTCATAAGAACCTTTCTTAACACAGATTTGATGTTCCAAAATACACAAGTCATAAGAACTTGTAACAGTAACAAATTAACATAAATCGAATTAGAGCTTCACGAATCAGAGATAAGAAAGACAAAGGAGATTCTAACCTAGCTTCATCAACAAGTTCCAAAACACAAGATTACAAGCCATTAAGAGGCGATAAATACCTAACGCGAGAGAGATAGTTTGGAGGAGAGGTAATGGCAGAAACACGACGGAGAGATTGATGAACGGCGGCGAGGAATCGGGAAAGACTAATCTCTCTCTCTCACTCTAGATCTGATATTTATGGGTTTGGTTCGTAAATCCGCTATAACGTTGAGGGTATAAATCTAGGAAGCATGGAATCGCCAGAAGTGATGCGTTTCTCGCTCCGGAAGTGGAAGCGGAATCGCAGGGAATCGCTCGTAATCGTCTTGGAATCGCGATTCCCAATGAGGCGTTTGGAAGCGTGTTGGAACCGTACGATTCGGGATTGGAAGCGCTGGTGATGTAGATCGGAATCGTGACTGGAGATGATGAAATCTAATGTGTTGGACTTCTATCTTCTAATTTGTTTTGTGGCCCAAGTCGTACTAACCCACTTTATTATAATAAATGTAAAAGTTAAAACCTAAGAGCAAGCCCAATGGTATAATCAATCCTTAAAAAGACTTTTAAGCATTTTTTATTATAAACTAGATGAATATCCACGCTACGCGTGGATTTGTTTTGAAAATTGTGAAGAAAAAATTATTGATTGTTCTTGCTAATTTATGTTTTTTTTTTATTTGTTATTATGTAGTTAATAAAACTACTATCTTATGTAGTTACAATTTTTAAGATTAGATCTATTTTCTGATTTGAAATATAACCCAAAAAAAGACTTACTTGTCAGTTGAGACCTCTTGCTTGTTCCCGTAATATCCTTCATCGTCCTCATGGCTCTGCTAGTTGGTCAGAAGGTACTTTATCAGCTTTATCAATATCTATTATAGGTACATAGTTTTTTTATCCTTTTTGAATGGGATTCATTGAACTCTCTCATTTATATTTTCAAGGGATACAAAATTTATAGCTGCAGAATACAGACCTAAAGCAGGAACAAAGAAGAACGAAAATGCTGAGAAGGCTTGTTTTGAAGTCATATGGAAGCCTTAAGCCGGATAGATTGGTAATCGTAAATGTGTTTCGTTGTTCAGAAGAAGGCTTGTTTTGTTGCTTGAGTATGTCGTACAGGTGATTCTTGTTTTTAGATCTGAATTACTTTTGCTTTGAATATTGATAGGAAAAGTTGAAAGGGAGTATAAAACGATACTCAAAAGGACGTTACAGAGTATTTGTGTTTTGACAGTTGTTCCAAATAGCACCACCTCAGTGATAATTCAGGTGAGTAGCTATTCAATGTTGTGTATATCGATATTGTCAACTTGAGTTGTATCTGATGTTTTCATTTTGTAATTCCCGTGTAGGTTGTACATGATGGTGGTTCTGTATCGTTTTTATGTTCCTTGCACCTTGGTAAATATTTATTGATGCTGTCTGAAACACATATAATCCGGTATAAACAATGTCTGTTTGAGTATTTATAGAGTTTATAGTAGTGAAAGTTTGTAATCCCGTAAGCTGAGAGTGTGAATATGTTTTTGTGTAACTTCTATCGTGGCCTCCATTCTGGCAGTTAGAAGGTAGAAAACGTTTGTTCTAAAGAAATATGATGTACAGAAAGGGAGACTATGAAGAATGGAATTTACGAAGTCGAGAAATTTGCCTTGAGATTCTTCTTCTTTCATATTGAACGATCGAGCAGAGAGTGAGAGAGATTTATTTTGTTAAAATCTTGTGGGGAATTAGAATATTTGTTGGGTTTAAAAGCATTAAGCCATCACTGAAATGGGCTCGACCCATTAATATTCCACTCTAATAGATTCTAAAACACATATGGCCCATCCGTCATGGGCTATTTGTTTACTCTATTTGACACTTATAATTAGAAGCTGATGTGTATTAATGAAATGTTTTTATTGGACGAATAAAAAGCTGATGTGTCATCTTCAGAAGAGCCAAAAATGCTGACATGGCGGAAGGATGGAGAGAGATAGCCTCCTTTCTTTTTTTTTTGTCATCCGAAATTAATTAAAGCTCAAAAGAGCCATTCCTGAGGAATGTTATTTACATAAGTGATATGAAGCGGTTCTGTACGAACTTTTCGTGCCAGATTATCCGCCTTAACATTAGCCCTACGAGAAATTAAAGATAAAGAAAAAGATGAAAACTCCTCCTTGTTGCTCTGAAATTCCTCCAAATACACTAAAAACGCCGGCCATTCGGTTGGAGAAGACACCATCTTCACCAGGTCTGAACAGTCTGTAAGGAACGCTACCTCTTGATTATCTGCACCAATCATACACTTCATCGCCCAGAGAAGGGCCTCGAATTCGGCATGTAGTGGAGATAGACTTCTACGGAGGTTCGCAGCTCCCATGGTTGGCGGCTCTCCATTTGACGATGTACAGAACCAGCCTGTACCAGAGAACTTATCACTTTCTTTCCATGATCCATCTACAAAACAACGGTATCCCGAATACTCCGCCTCAAGTGAAACATCCCTCACTCGAATTCGATCTACCAAGTGCACAGAACCATGATTTTCATTATGGAGCTCAATTTGAGCGGACTGCCACAATTGTGCCTCTTTTTCCGCTAATCGTAATACTTCTAAAGGGTCTGTGTCTATGTTTTCAAAGATCTTTTCGTTCCTCGCTTTCCAAATAAACCAAATAATCCATGGGAAGGCTGATGAATCAACTTCCGTAGGTATTCTCCAAAATAAGTGATCCAAATTAGTAAAATTAGATTCCGTAGGAAAAATCCCCATAGCCGTAGGAATCTGTGAAAGCGCCCAAATCTGCCGTGCTGGGTGGCACTGAAAGAGTGTATGATTGATCGTTTCCTCTGATGCGCCACATCTGGCACATCCCGTGTCACAATCAATTCCTCTTTTCCGTAAATTTTCCGTAACCGGTACACATCCCGTTAAGATTTGCCATATGAAATGGCGTATCTTAGGTGGACACTGCACTTTCCAAGAATATGCTTTTAACGGGTTGATGTTAGGGCCAAAAAAGTTTAAATTGGTCTCCGACGTTTCCATCCGTGTAGAATGATATCCCGATTTGACTGTATATTTTCCGGATTTTGTAAAATGCCAACCTAAAAAATCTTCTTTTGTTGGCGCACCCACAGGTATGGCGCTTATTAGAGCGACATCTTCTGGATTAAAGATCTCTCTTAAGAGATCAATATTCCAAAAATTTGACCGACTATCTATAAGGTCTTTAACTTTTAAAGATGGATTAGCAACTGAACCATTACTTTTTGCTGGTCTCGGGAATTGAGCTGGAATCCAGGGATCCTCCCACACCGAGATGGATGTCCCAGATCCGACTCTTTTAATAAGTCCTTTATTAACCAGAGATCTAGCTGAACATATACTCCGCCATCCATACGATGGGGAATATGATTTTATATTTTCCAAAGGATTGGATTTCCTAAAATACCGTCCTTTAAACACTTTTGCGAATAGAGAATCTGGAACCGTAATCAACCGCCATAATTGTTTTGCTAGTAAAGCTGAATTAAAATCGTCCACATTCCGAAATCCTATCCCCCCTTCCGATTTGCTATTGCACAATTTGTTCCAAGCCATCCAGTGCATACCTCTGGAGTCACCATTTGAGCTCCACCAGAAATTTGCTACCGCGCTAGTAAGTTTAGAAGTGATTGTTTTCGGTAGTCTGAAGCACGACATAACATAAGTTGGTAATGCTGCAGCTACCGATTTAATCATCACTTCTTTTCCCCCTTTTGATAAAAATTTGGCCGACCATCCGTTAATCCTTGTTTGTAGTCTATCTCTAACAAAAGAGAAAATTTTTGTCTTGGAGCCCCCTAAACTCTCCGGCAATCCGAGATAAGAACCCATACCACCGATATTAGTGATACCTAAGGTAGATTTGATTTCTTCCTTGATATCATCATCTACCTTGTGTCCAAACTGAATCGAGGATTTTAAAAAATTAATCTGTTGTCCCGAGACCTCTTCATACTTCTTTAAAATCTCTAAAATTACCCCGCATTGGTCCTTGTTAGCCTTGCAAAAAAATAAACTATCATCCGCAAATAACAGATGTGAAACCGAAGGGCTTGCATTTGCCACTTTGATGCCCGTAATTAATTTTTCCCGTTCAGCTTTCCGAATATTTGCAATGAGCACTTCTGTGCAAAGGATGAATAAATAAGGTGAGAGTGGGTCTCCTTGTCGTAAACCCCTCTCTGGTACTATTAGTCCTCTAGGTTGTCCATTAAGGAGAACTCTATATTGGACCGTTGTAATACACCACATTATCCATGTAATCCATTTTTCACAGAAGCCCAACTTCCTTAAGACCTTCTCGATGAAAATCCATTCCACCCTATCATAAGCCTTACTCATATCCGTTTTAATAGCCATAAATTTGCCTTTACAAGATGGGTTAGTTCTCAACCCATGGACCATCTCTTGTGCAATGAGAATATTATCCGAAATCAAACGTCCTTCTACAAAAGCCGATTGTGTTTCCGAAATCAGTTTTGGTAGCACCGTCTTGAGTCTTTGGCAAAGGATCTTCGATATAATTTTATACCCAACATTGCAAAGACTAATAGGCCGTAATTCCGTCATCCGTGTTGGTCTTTCCGTTTTTGGAATTAGGCAAATATTAGTCGTATTTAGCCGTTTATCAAAAATTTCATCCTCTAGAAAAGAGTTAACCAGACAAAGAAGATCTGTTTTAATAGTAACCCAAGCCTTCTGGAAAAATAAAGCAGTCATACCATCAGGTCCAGGCGCTTTTTCCGGGTGCATCATAAACAGAGCCGTTCTCACCTCACATTCCGTTGCGGGTGCCGTTAGAAAATTATTAATTTGATCCGTAATCAAAGTTTGCACTTCTGCCAAAGATTCCTCAAAAACCTCAGGATTAGTTGTAGTAAACAGATCCTTAAAATATGACACCGCTATATTTTGAACATCTTTTTCCTCTGCCGACCAAACCCCGTTTTCATCATGTAACCCTGTTATTCGATTCCTAGCCCGTCTTTGTTTTGTTAGTGCATGGAAATACTTTGAATTATTATCCCCTAATTGCATCCAACAACACCTACTTTTCTGATGCCAATACAATTCCTCATCTCGATAAGCCTCTTTCAAACGCAAGGTTAATTCTGTAATCTCCTCCCTTGGTCTCCTTTCATATATATGATTATGACAATTTCAAAATTAAGAGTTTGTGTTGAATCCTTAAAATTTTATTTGTCCAATGGTAGAGTCCTTAATGGGTTTCTTAAAAAAAAAATGTTTATTTTTAAAATGAAAAATAATAAACATTGTTATTTGATAAAGTCATAAAACTTAATAATTATTACAATTTTCTAAAATTTTAAACATACAAGACATAAAAGTATATAAAAAAAATACAAATCAAAAACAGTTATAATAGAGACTTACAAAGTTGGAAGCATTATACTAAAATTAAGGGGAGCTTCAGCAAGAAATAGCTCTAGATAGTGCAGCAGAAACAGAAACAGGCCGCAGTCAAATGAGTTTTTCTGTTGTGGCAACTGAAATAGAAAGAGCAAACTTGCCATCACATAAACAATTATAAACAGCTGCAAAAAGTATCTATCTTTTAGCATGAAAATTGTTAAACTTAAAACAAAGGATTGGAAGCTTGCATATGGCAGATGAAAGGTCAAACAACAATTGCTAGCTACAAGATTAATTCATGGGCAATTCATCAATGTCAGCGGTTCCTAAGTGGTTTGAAGTGAGTTCAGATCACATTTTTGACATGGCATCCACGTGTGCATAGGAGCAAAACGACGTCGTTTCAGCTTAAATGGAGGAGACAATTGATAGCCTTAAACGACGTCGTCTTGGACCTTCTACTTCATTTCTTCTTCTTTCTCTCCCGAGTATAGACTGTGAACCCTAAGATTTGGGGGTTTTCGATTTTCTTTGAATCCAAGTGATTAGCATCCAATGTCTTCATCATATAGTTCGGGTAAGTGATTATTGTGTTCGTTTTAGTTGTTGTTCATCAATTTAGATAATATAGATGAAAATTTTGATTTTGAATTTGTTGAAGGGATGAGTGGTAGCTTCAATCGGCGTGGATAGGCCTGGGCAAAATACCCGGAACCGAATACCCGAACCGAAAAACCCGAACAATACCCGAATCGAACCCGAACCCGATTTTTAAAAATACCCGAATGGGTCCTAACCTCCTACCCGAAAAAAACCCGAACCGAACCCGAACCGAATCCAATACCCGAATATACCCGAATGTACCCGAATACAAATATACACCTAAAAATATTAGTTATTTTTATATTTATAATACCCGAAATACCTAAAATTACAATCATAAATCTGAATATATTAGGTATTTTAGATATTTTTGGTTATATTTGGGTAAAGAGTAACCAATGTATTTTCGAGAAATCGGGTATTTCCGTTAGATTTGGGTATATATGAGTTAAAAACCCGAACCCGATCCGAACCCGAAAATATTCTGGGTATTTTTGGTTATTTTCGGGTATTTTGCTTTTTTATTAAAATACCCGAACCGAATTTTTAGAATACCCGAATGGGTCTTGACCCCCTACCCGAATAGACTCGATACCCGAAAAAAAAGAACCGAACCCGAACGGGTACCCGAATGCCCTGGCCTAGGCGTGGAGCAGAAAGAGGACTACCTAGAATTCTCACAAATTATCTCTTTAGCAACTCAAAACTATATATGAATACATCCGAAATTGATTTTGAAAATCCAAAATAGATTTGAAATTACCTCGACGGATCTCTTTGTTGGACTTCCAAATCCTCTGCTTCATCGGGAATCATTGGTATTAAGTTTGGATTTGAAGCTAATCCGTCGCAATCCACAAGAACCCTAAATCCCCAAATCACTAAGCTTTTGTCGCACACGGCTCAAGTCGGGAAAGAAAGAAGAATAAGTGAATAAAATGTCCAAAACGACGTCGTTTCTGGCTTTACTTTGTCTTCTCAATTAAATCCAAAACGACGTCGTTTTGGGCCTCTCTGCACACGTGGATTCCCGTCAGAATGACTTCACGGTGGGTTAACAGTGTTAGGCCATTTCCACGTTTTTGTATAATTTGGCACAAAATATTTACTTCGGGTTTGGAATTCAAATTTACTACAAGTTGGGGTATGTTATAGCACAAGCAATAGATAAATGTATGAATTCAACACAATCATTATGTGGGGGTATGAAAAAGCCGACTTTCCCTGATAATTCTTTGGCAACTTAAGCAGTACACTCTCTTTGAAATGCTTTGCTAAATCATCAGCACACCTATAAATTCAAAAATATGTCTCATAACAGCAGCCATTTACATAAACTGTCAAAATCAAGTAAGAAAACAAACCTTGTAGCAAAGAGCTTCTCTTACATTTTCCACATAATCGTCAATTGTTTCTTCCTGTTTATCACAAACATTTCAGTTACTGCAAATGGAAGCGACAAGACAATAACTCTTACAGAAACAATCACTAACACTGAACAAAGTTGAATAAGGTATTCGATTTTCTGGAAAACCCAGCAAATGTTTTAACCGTAGTCACATAACTCATAGAACCCTAATTTCTAGATTCATACCGTAACAAATAAAACAGTTAGATTCATACCTTGATTAAGCGATTGGAGCATGGAATCGCCTAACTATCCGATTTGATTTGCCGAACGCACTGATTAGGTCCACCGAACTTCTGTTGGTGACCACCGACGGTGGAGCTGATCATCACGGATGAACGGTTACGACTTTGTTTCGCCTTTCTCTTCCAATTTGATGATCTAGACGCCGGATTATGAAGAACAACACGATTTGCTCTCAATTTCGCCATCGGAGAAAACAAGGAGAAGAGAGAGAGAGAGTCGAGGAAAAAATGATCGGGAAAGGAATTTTTTTTTTGTTTTCTCATATTTACGAACCAATCACGCTGTGACACATCAGGGCACCTTAGCAACCCAAAAACTCTAAAACAAGAAACGTTTCTTGGGTTTTAAATCAGTTTTGATTTAAATATGGGCTTTTAATTTTAAGAAACTTGGCTTAGAACTTTCTAAGGATCACCATTGCTGTTGCTCTAATAAGTAATAACAATAAAGAAACAAAGGAGATAAGAAGTTATGAAATGATTTTTGCCCCCAAAATCACAAACTAGAAGAAATAGTAATTAATCGTACTTCGGAATCTAACCGTAGTTTGTGTGCTGTGTTATGACTTATTTCCAAAGTGTTGTTTGTATTGTTCTTGTTCATAATGATAGCTTATTGTCTAATTGTTGTGCACTTGTGCAATTGCATACTTAACACACACAAGAGAAAATATCAAATCACAATCACAAATGTTGCTTTCAACTGGAAATATGAGTAGTTTTACTTCCATACGCCAATACCAAACCTTTTTAATTAGGAAGAAAAGACCAAACTTTCCACCACCTTTTGATGCTTTATGACATAGCAAAGCATTCTCAAGACTCATAGACACGTCATTGTTTGTAAGGAAAAAAAAAAAACCATTTTTTATGAACAAAACAGTGAACATTAGTTCACCACTACAACCATAAACCTTTGTTTAAGAACTACAAAAACAGAACTCAAAGTGGTTACTGGTTAGTTAAGTCAAATGAAATCATTTATCTAAATTGAACCAAACTAGATATATATACTTGGTTTTCGATTTTACCGTAGAACAACTTCTTCGCCAAGAGCACCTGCAAGAAACAAAGCAAAAGACATTGATGATGATGATGGTGATGATGATGGATTGATGTGCAATGTGGGTTTCTTGATATTTACATTGTTGGTGGATTTCTAAGCATAACTGAAGCATCGTGTGGCTTTCTTCAACCAACTTTTGCATCCGTTCTTCTTCTTCGACTGCCTCTGCTGCTATCAACCTTTTGTTATCTGACTCTGCTAGTTTCATTGCTACAACTTCTGGTGCTACTTCCATCACTTTGTTTTCTAATTCTGAGATCTTGTAGCCATCTAATAATACCTGCATTTTTGCGAGATTTTCTGATTTTAATCAAACATAAGAAAAACCTGAACTTGACATTTACAAATGAACATGTCTACTCCATCTTGTTATAAATAGAGGATCATGCATCAATAAATAACTGCGCAGTTAAGAAATAAACCTTTTCCAGTTTGCCTTGAGAGACGAGAATTGCCAGGCACTCAATCAAAAACTTCCTTAAGTCTTGTCGCTCCTCGTACCAGTCCTGAAATTGATCAACCATAGGGGATCATATCTTTTGATGCTATGATACTGTAAATTGGATGAGAAACTTGTAATTAAAAGGAGTAAGATTACGTCGTTTTCTTTTGCCCACTCATTGATTCGTTCTGCTACTCTATTTGCTGCTGCGTCTATCTCCCGTGTTTCTTTTGATGTTGTTAATATCACAGAAGTACTTGGCAGCTCTAGTGGCTTCGTGGAATCTTTTGGGCGCAGTGTGAGTGTTGGCTTCGTTGCTTTCGTAATCTCAATTTTGTAACGATTTCGTACCTGCATTTGTAAAGTAAGTTTTGAGTTTATCAAATAAAATAACTCAAGTTTATTATCACTATATCTTGTCACATAGATGCAGGGATATGGAGAAAAGTAGATAGGCTTGTGACAAACGACGCATCAAGAAAAACAAAAATAGTTACCTTTTTGAGTTTGTCTTGAGAAACAAGGATTCTCAGGCTATAACTCAACAGTTTCTTAAGTTTTGTGGAACCTCAAGTCGTTCCTGCAATTGATCAACCACAAAGGTTAACTTCCAACTGAATTCAATGTAAATCATAATCTTGATGTTCTGGTTGAACGTAAATATGAGAGATACAAACGATTATACAATAGAGAAACCTAAAGAAGAGAACGTAATGCAGCAGCATTGGCGAAGGCAAAGGATTCATGCTTGGAGTAAAATGTTATAAGGAGGAAAATGGAAACCACACTTAGAGTTTTTCCAGGGTCTGAATTTCTTGACCATTTTGTAAAGTTGCGGTAACTGAGCGCAACAAAGAGGTTCCAACAGGCGGTTGGTAATGCTATTCAAATGGTATCAGAATGTTTGCAGTCATCATGGTTGTGGTAGACTACTCACGACATATATCTACAACCTTAGAAGTTACCAACTAATTGTCAGATAACTATCCTAAAAATCCGTTGTGGTCAATTAATGACTCACTTCAGACAAAGATACACAATATATGGACTCAGTTCAGGTGGAAACTTAGCTTTTGTAAATAACTCTGACAAGAAATTGAGATAAACTGACTAATAAATGTCAAATATAAACCATGAAAATGTATATATATCGTCTTCACCTCGATAAAGCTGAGCATCTCCTTAAGATTAGAACCATTTTCATCATTAACTGTTGATATAGCCTCAAAAACCATTGCATCATACCTTGCAACAAGGTAAAGGAGCAGAAGCTGTTAGAACCTAAAGAAAAATACAAAAATCAAACAATATTCCAATTTAAAGAATCTCCGTATATAACAAACCTAGTATCATTGCTCATATCTGATGAACTACTTAGAAAAGGCTCATTGCTAACAACAGCACGAGAAGTTTTTGAAGCTGAAGTGAAAATGGAGGTAGATTCGAGTGTATGTGTCCTTGATTTCTTCATATTACGCCATTTATCCTTGAAATTACGCAAGAATAGTAAACAAGACAACATCAATCCAACATTAAACACCCAAATTTCGACCTAATCCACATGATAAATCTCAAAAATCAATTTCCATGGAAGACGAACGGGATTTTGGGAATTTTCGATACCTTGAGGTTAATGTTAGTGCGATCTAGAAGTTGAGCCGCAAACTCAGGATCGTCTACAATATTCGACCATTTCCCGGAACCGTGCTTGGCTATTCCGGCGAGAAGCGCCTCCTCTTCTTCCACCGTCCATTTATTCTTCCGAGTTCCGATGTCCTAGCATCTCTAAACACTTCGTCGTCGTCTCTCTCTCAAAATCAAATTCACCTTCGGTATTAACTCTGAAACTATGCGTACATGCCAAAATACACTCGTACGCTTCAGATCAGTCGTCTTCTTCGTCGTCAGTCACCGGAGAAGAAGACGACACCCAATTCAGTATTCCCGCTTTTCTTCTACTAGTGAATTTTTATTTCTTCTTCAACTCGAAATATATATCATTTAGAAGGCCTTAAATAGGCCTACAATAAGGCCCATTATAAAGAATAAAATCTTGGTCTGCTTATAATTTTTTAGACTAATCTCAACCGTTCAAATATATTCTCTCATGGTCTGAGATTTATGTGGCTTCCGCTTCATATTGTTAGAACTAGCTTAGTCAAACTATGGAATGGGATGTTAAAACGGTACGGAAAAACTTGCTTTTGCACAAGAGTTGCTTCATGAAAATCGCATAAGTTGAAGTAGCAAATATTAAACATTAGATCAAGATTTCTGTTAATATGCGAAAAATGCCGGGTAATGATCAGACAATGGCATCTCACAGCTTCCTCATGAGTAGGAAGAGCCTCTGGTCGAGTTCGAAGTGAGAAATGTGAGCTGGATCTCCCTTAAGCAACATCAGGAGGCCGCCAAACGAAACATATAGCTCTCTGGAAACACAATAGTTTAAAGAAAGAAACCAAAATATGATGGTTAGATATGTAAGTTGGATGGGATCATTATTTTGATTTTGGGGTCTAGGTATATGGGATTCTTACGCTTTAGGAGTTTTGCCGTCACGCTCAGAGATCTTGTAAAGCTTCCCGTGCATGATGTATTCATACTTATCCGCAAGTGTTTTCTTTGCTCCCTGTAATATATTTATATGAAAAATCTACATGTTCAGATGAGCAAACAACATTCTTGGTTTTCAACTTTAGGTTTTCAAGATTCAAGTCACTAAAGCTTGCTAAAACTCCATATGTCTACTCTTATTCCTAGATAGACAGGCTTCTCGAATCAGCAAACAGAGTTGTAATACCAACAGTTATATCCTAACCAAATCCTGATACGAGTTCACTGTTACCATTCATGAAATTTGGCCAAGCAAACAAGAGATTGTTATATACACAAAACAGATCAAACAAATAAAAAGCAGTAGACTTTATTACCGGAGTAAAATAGCCGGTATCAGGGGTTCCATCGAGATTAAGCGTGGGAGCCAACGCAAGTGTGAACTTATCACCAACAGCCAATGGATAAACCTCTGTGTTAACATCTAAATGCATAAACATTTCCAAGTTGTGGCTCGTAGCTTGAACGCGAGTAACTGTAACCACAAACACACACACCCACAACAAAGAGAAAGCTTAAAAACTCAAATCTGAAAAAAGAACAAAATTTGGGAAGACTAAAAACTTAAAAAGTTGAGATTTTTCCACAAAACCCACACTCTCAGACCAGAAAAGGATAAACGGAAGAACTCATTACCAATATATAAACTAAACAGCTATGAAACAAACGTCGATATAAGCCATAAGAAGTACTAGAAATCGTGAGTGAGGTTAATAAAGTATATACCTTTATCAAACTTTTTGCCATCAGGGTCTAGCTTATCGACCACGAAGATATCCTCGAACAAGATGATATTGCTCGCCATCTGCAAATACGGAAATTCAAACCCTAAATACTCTTTACTTCCTTGATAAAAAAAAAAAACAATTTAACCAGCAAACAAGGACTATATGAGATTAAGAAGCCGAACTCTGAAGTCAACTTGTAAGTAGATATTTATGAACCTGGAGCTTGTGTTGAGGGAGAGATGAAAGCTTGAGATCAAAAGTTAAAGACTTTCTTAGAGAAATCTCCCCAGCGATGGGTCAGAGAAGAGCAAAAAAATTAAGGTACAAGAGAAACAGACACTGACCAATACTCATAAAATATATATCTTTAATGGGCTTACAATGAGGCCCATTATAAAACTAACTCTCATAAACTGATCATTAATCAGTATTAAAACTAGCTCGACCGTTAAAGATACTAAAACGTTGATGAAGCCACAATCACACTCTTTTTTTTTTTTTTTTTTCTCTTGTATTAGAAAAATAAATTCAATTCTTAAGATTGGCATCATCTGTAGAAACTTGTATTACCAAAAGTTAAAGAATAGTTTGTTGCCTTCCTTTACAACCAAAAACATTTATAAACCTCTAAACTAAACAGACGTCACAAAAAGTGACTAGTTAGTCAAATGAAACCACACTTCTACACTCTTTCTTTTTTTTTACTAAATGCCAAAAACTCTCAAAGAAACCGGTGATCGAATACATTCACATTGAACCGGACCAGAAGGTAAAGCTTTTACAGCAGGAAAATCTTTTCACCGTTAGCACCTGCAAAGAAACAAAGCAAATTAAAAGGTCAGTGATGATGATGATGATGATTATATATGAATATGATAATGATGATGATGTGGTTAAGAGGTTGACATAACGTACATCGGTTAAGGATTTCCACGGCTAACTGCAAGATTTTGTTGCTTTCTAAATTTAGCAACTGGACGTGTCTATCTGCAAGTTCTTGTGCCTCTTTCGCTTCGAACTCCAAGTGTTCTGCCTCTGCGACTTCTTTTGCTACTGCTTCTATCCGAGGATCTTCTTTTGTTGCTGCTGGTGCGAAAGAAGCACAAGTACTTGGTGTGTCTTGTGTCTTCGCGCCCGTCGAACCTCCTGGACTCATGGTTTGTGGTAGATTTGAAGCTACTACTGACACTATTTGAGTATCAAAAAGACCATGGGGGATCTTGTAGAGGTTTCCTACCTGCATCATTTACAAGTATTTTTGAATCTTGATCAAACAAAACTACTAAATCTTGCATTTATATGAGGCAACTCCATTAGTTACCATTTCTACTTGGCCTTCAGAAACTAGATTTCCCAGCTGGACTTCCAACCGGTCCCTAAAATCTTCCTGTAACTCGTACTTTTCCTGCAGTTTATATTAACCACAAGAACAACTCTGAATTGAATCCAAACAAGAGAAACGTAGATACATTGGCTATATACACTCATGAGAGATGACCATGATAGATACACAAGCTATATACAACTCTGAACAATGGAGGAATCAACAAAACCAAGACTTAAAAGGTTACCTAATGTTCCATTGTTTAATCCAGCTATTGACTCACTTCAGAACCGATAGACACACAAGCTATATACACTCATGAGATATGACCATGAAACACAGATACTATAGAGAGAGAGAGAGATTCTCCTAACCTCGATAAAATTGAAAATTCCATCGATATCAAGACCATTTCCATCAGCATAGACTGTTTCTAAAGCCTGATAAATCAATTCATCAGTCGTAAACCTGAAACAGAACCAAAAACAAAAAAAAAAGAAGAGAAAATAAGAGAACAAATCTGTCAAAACATAGACCAGAGAAATCAAAAATTGGTGTTAAAGAATCGAAAAGGTCACAAACCCTGAGGGACCCCTGTCGTCTTCTGTATCTATCATGGCCCTTTCAAGCTGGTCGCTGAAAAAAAGAGATAAACAAATCTGTCAAAACATCACCAGAAAATCAAAGATCAATTCTAGAAGATTGATTTGAAAGAATCCAATAAAATTCACTAACGCATAGGGAAGGTTTTCTGCTGAAGGCTCTGAAGAAGAAGAAGAAGAAGAAGCAGCAGGAGGTGGTAGATCTCTGAAAAAAACAAGAAAGAAATTGACATTACTATTTGAAGCAGAGCTTTAAGCATCGATCGATCTCTTTGATTTCCAAAAAATTGGCTTTAGGTTAAATCAAACAATGCTATTGAGATACGAAAGTTCACGAACCCAATGTCATTCGCATCCGATAAAGAATCACCAGGATCCATGGCCACTGAAGAAGGATCGTCGCTGAAAAAAGAAAGAAACTGATTGAAGCATCGATCTTTTTGATTTCTTCAAAATTGCCTTCGATTGAATCAAATTACGCCATTTTCGCCTCGAAATCTCGATATCTCAATCGGTTTCCATGGAAGAAAATAAAGATCTTACTCGATAATTCGGGACCTTCTTGAAGAGTATCAATGGTTATCGATCACTCTATGTATACACGTATATAAACAACTATACATTCGTATATACCTGCGCTTCAGAGAAACCCAGTCGCAGTCGTTTCGTCTCGTCGGAGAAGAAGATGTAACTAACTTTATTTCCCGCTTTTCTACTTTTTTTTTTTTTTTTTTTTCCAACTGCCAAATCGCGCAAATCGCAAATATATAGCAATCTGATTGGGCCTAAGTACTAATGGGCTTAGGTTCAGGTCTACAATTAAAGTCAACTTTAATCTCGCCCGCATTCCGAAAACCCCATTATGAGCTTTACAATAAGGCCCACTATTTACAAAGTCATATTTTAGTCAACACTCCTAACTGATCATTGATCAGGATTAAAACTAATCTCGACCGTTAAATATACTTCGTTGAGAAAGCCTCACACACTCTTTTTTTTTTTTTCCAAAGGGTCTGATATATATATTAAACAGAGGCTGCATCCATCAATGGGAATCCATTTTGGAGAGGCAGTATAATTTACAACCTAGAGATTTTACAAACAAAGGAGCTAAAAGATATATAAACAAAGTTAACAACTAAGTAAACATCACAACTAAAGCAGCATTTGTTAAAAAGCTATACATCATAACAATCCCAATAAAACCAGAGGAAAAAGACTGCAGTCTTCATTCCTGATTTCAAAGCTTCCATCTTATGCATGTGTTATGACAGCTTCTGGCTCCCCATTGTATCTACTTAGACTGAGTAAACTATTAAAAGAGGCCTAGTCTCCACAAAGTTAACCAACATCCAAAGTTGACTAAAACCAAAGTGCTTCCTTATTTTTGTTAAACAAAGCACTTCATGCCCTCAAAAGGTTGAGTTTACAGAGTATAAGGGCACGTTATACTCTTATTACCAAGGACAGAGAAGATCTATGGTGGCTGACCAGAAACCGGATAAAACCTGATTCCATGATCTTGTCTGCATCTCCGAGTGTTTCTTTCAAAATTGAGATCCACTTGTTTGTCTTTTTTCCTTTTGGAACTTTCACCAATTTCATATCTAGCTTTGGTATGAACTCCACGACTAGAAGAAAAACTTGAAGTATCAAATCTGATGGGTCGATGTTCCTCCACCATCTGATTCAGGTCCAAAAGTGGAGAAGCAGGATTTGGTGGTTGAGAGATAGGACTGTAAGAGGAGATTTCCGAGCTTGAGCTTGAAGACTGATTTTCAAGAGGAGGAGGAGGAGTAGGATTGTTAGATCCAGCTCCCTCATTCCAAACAGGGACCACTAGAACATCTGCATCATTGTTATCTTCATTTTCTTCATTATTTGGAGCAGCCTGAGGGACCAAGTAAGGACAGTGAGCAACATCATGGTTGATACGACAACAATTTGTACATATCCTTTGAAGTCTTTCATATTCAAAACCAATCATGGCTTCTTCTCTGGATTCAAACCTGACTCTCCTGAAGAACCTCAGACGATCTGTAATACTGATGCGCACCTTAACTCTGATAAAAGCTATCTGAGTAGATGTGATCTCATTAAAGTCTACTTCAATAACTGGTCCAAGAGTATGAGCAATGAAGCGAACCGACAACTCAGACACATAAGGGGGAGGGATTCCCCTTACCTGTACCCATAAGTCTATAAAAGTGAGGAAATCAGGCCCTGGAAAGTCCACCCACCTTTGTAAAGCTACAAACCAGTGATTATACAACCATGGAGCTCTCCTTATCACTGAGACTAAGTCAGACTCAGAGCGAAAACGAAACTGCACACACTGACCATCAAGTATACGTCCATGAACTCTTGCAGCCATGCCCCTGCCCCAACTGCGAGGTAAAGCACTAAGGATCCTTCTGAGGTTTTGTGCATGAGTGTTGAGAGGTCTCCCAATAAGACTGAGTCTGTTGCTAGCAACAACACTAGTATACACTTGGTGTGGAACAAGGAGTTCAGGGTCATCACGCCCTAGAACCATATGCTGTAAATCATGCCATATTTCATCCGCCATCAAGAGAAAAGAAAAAGAAAACCAGAAGAGCAAAAGAAAGAAGAAAGAAAGGAGAAAAAGAGAAGGTATAGGAGTGAAGAACTGAGTGAAAGAAATATATATAGGAAGGTAAAAAGAAGAAGGCGGCAAGAAGAGATAAGTAAGATAAAAGAAAGAAGACTAATAAGACAAGGAGTGGTAAGCAAACCAAGGAAAACAATGATTATAGCAGATAATCATCGGTAAAAATCAAAAAATATCTGGTTTTGGCCTCTCTGAAATATAGTAAATCAATCCATGCTTTTGACTGGAGACTTATCTAAACAGTAAACTTCAAAAAGTCAAACTCTTATAGCGGTAATATATCAGGAACCAATGCCATATGAGACAAAGATGCAGCTTGTTTTTTCTCCTGATAAAAAAATTCCCCTAGCCAAGAAGGACAGCCTTGAGCAACATACGAAGATATCCTGTAATCAGAAGTAACACTCCTAGCTATCCTAGAGGCGCCTAGATTACACTGAATAGGTTCCAAAATGATCTCCCATCTAGTCTTATTGTTACTCAAATGTAACAGAGGAAAAATATGACTTACAAGTGAAGGCCAAGCAGTTGGTTTGTGTAGCGCCTGAATAATTTCAAATGTTGTAGCACCAAAAAGAACTTTTTCAAATTTCAAACTCTGCATGCTTTCAAGAGCCCATTTCCAACTCCTAATTTTTGCTTCAAAAACAGAAGCAATCTGAGAATAAGATCTTCTACTATGGAGTAACACAGTACCCATAGCATCTCTGACAACCCAAGAAGCACCAGACAGAGCATATTTTTTTGACCATGAAAAACCAATGTTGCATTTGACTTCATCCCATAATGGAGGAGACCAATGAGAATCTTTCATCAAGGAAATAGGAAAAACCTCAGGGCTTAACAATTGAGCAGATAACCAAGCTGTAGAATCCTCATAAGCTTTTTGTATTAACAATTCTGGAGGATAAATAGAGCCATTGAAAAGCAATTTGTTCCTATTTTTCCATAAAAGCCAAACAATCCAAGGAAAAACTGATCTACTCTCAATCATGCACTTGGCCTTCTTTTGCAGAGTTATAAGATACTTTAAGTTCACCATTTCTGAAGGTCCAAAACCTCCAGAAGGAGAAGGAATATGAGAGAGAGCCCACACCTGTCTAGCATAGGGACAAATGAAGAGGATGTGGTTGATTGTCTCTTCCGCAGCACCACATAAAAGGCATCCATCATAGTTCTTGATTCCTTTTGTAGCCAACCTTGCAGAAACTGCAATAGCCCCTTTAATGCTTTTCCACAAGAAAACTTGAATTTTTGGAGCTGTTTTAACTTTCCAACAATCAGCTAACACAGAAAACAGATCAGGAGAAATGGTTGGTTCACTAAATTTCTCCTTGTTGGCCAGTCTAAAGATCATCTCATATCCAGATCTCACCGAGTATACACCATTCCTGTTCCAAGCCCAACAGAAAGAATCTTTTCTTGCTAATAATGGTGGAGTGGATATAATACGCATCACATCATCATGATGAAAAAGTCTTCTAAGAAGACTGATATTCCATAAACTAGAGTGACAATCAATAAGAGAGGCTACCTTGAGATTAATATTCATTAGGGAATGAAGACCAACAGGACGTCTAGCACACTCATCAAAAATCCACTTATCAATCCAGACTAAGGTATCCTTCCCATCACCAATAACACTCTTGAGTCCTTTGCTAAGTAAATTTCTTCCAAAAACTATACTTCGCCAACCATAAGAAGGTCTAGAACTCAATTTTGCATGTAAGAAAGATGTTTTCCTGAAATACCTGCTTTTGAAGAATCTTGAAAACAAACAATCCGGGTCATTCAATAATCTCCATGCTTGTTTTGCAAGAAGAGCTTGATTAAATAATTCCAAATCCCTGAATCCAAAACCACCAGCAGATTTTGGCATTGTCATTTTGTCATGACTGATCCAATGAATCTTGTGTTGAGATTGAGAATTACCCCACCAATACTCCATCATAGCACTAGTCAAGTTCTTGATAGTACTTTTAGGAAGTTTAAAACACATCATGGCATATACAGGTAAAGCCATGGCAACTGATTTCAATAAAACTTCTTTTCCTCCTTGAGAGAGCTTTTTAGCATACCATCCTGTGAGCTTGGATTGAAGTCTTTCCTTGATAAACCCTAAAAGCTGCTGTTTGGAACCACTAAGACATTCAGGAAGCCCCAAGTATTTCCCTGTACCACCCTCCAAAAAAATTCCTGTTGCATTTTTAACCCAATCTTTGGTATCCTCAGCAACTTTAGAACCAAAAGTAATAGCAGATTTCTTCTTATTAATCTGTTGACCAGACATTTTTTCATATTTCTCAAGACAGAGCAGAACTGCATCACATTGATCTTTTGTTGCTTGACATAGGAATAAGCTATCATCCGCAAAGAGTAAGTGATTAATAGCTGGAGCAGAGGAATGATATTTTATACCTGAAATAACACCTTGATCTTCAGCTTGTTGAAAAAGGTGAATCAAAGCTTCAGTGCCTAACACAAAAAGAAAAGGAGAAAGAGGATCTCCTTGTCTAATACCTCTTTCAGGTATTATGAAACCATAAGGTTGATCATTAATCAATACCGAATAAGACACCGAAGTTACACATCCCATAATCCAAGAAATCCAGATGTCAGAGAAACCCATAACTTGAAGAATTCCTTTCAAAAAAGACCATTCTAACCTATCATAAGCTTTTGACATATCTGTTTTGAGTAGCATGGATGATTTAGAAAACTTCTGATGAGAATGAAGACTGTGAATCACTTCATGAGCTATCAAAATATTATCAGATATCATTCTTTCTGAAACAAAAGCTGCCTGAGTAGGTGAAATAAGCCGAGGAAGATGTTTTTTCAGCCTATTGACTAAAATTTTGGATACTATTTTATAAAGCACAGAACAGAGGCTGATTGGTCTGAGATCAGTCATTCTAGAAGCTGCTGGAATCTTAGGGATCAAACACAAATTTGTGTGATTCCATTCCTTAGGGAGAATACCAGTGTGGAAAAAATTTTGGATCTCTGTAATGACTTGATGTTTAATAATCTCCCAATACTTCTTAAAAAAGAAACCTGTCAATCCATCGGGCCCTGGAGCACTGTCACTATTAATGGAGAAGGCAGCATTTCTAATCTCATCAACTGATGGAAATTTAGATAAATCAGCATTTATCTCAGATGAGACTCTGGGTTGAAAATTGTCAAGTAAATCAGAAGCCAGAGTCGGTTGTGAAGATTTAAAAAGCTGAGTGAAATACTGAGTAGCTACTTCTCCCTTTTCTTTATCTGAGAAATGATCCTTTCCAAAATCATCAACAAGACACTGCAAAGAGTTTTTAGCTCTAGCAGAATTCACTGAGGCATGAAAAAATTCTGTATTTTTATCCCCATCATGCATCCATTTCTCCCTGCTCTTCTGTCGCCAGTAAATCTCTTCTTCCCTAAAAGCAACAGCTAATTCACACTTAAGTTGGCGAATGCGAGAAAAACAAGGATTAAGAGATTCATCTTGCAGCTTTAGAGCTTTTCTTAATCTTCTAATCTTCCAATCTGAATTTGACCAAAGATTCTTCTTCCACCCTTGGATTGCTGTTTTACAACGTTCAGCTTTAAGGAGAAAACCAGAAGATGTTCCTGAAGGGTCCTTGTTCCAAGCTTGAGTAAGCATTTTCAAAAAGGATGGGTCCTCAGCCCATCTTTTATCAAACCTGAACTGACTTCTAAAAAATTCTTTATCCCCTGAAAATTCCATCAGTACAGGTTTATGATCTGAACCAAGTTTCTCTAAAAACCATTGATGAGCTTTTGGGAACATAGAGAACCAGGCCGGGTTCCCAAAACACCGATCTAACTTGCACTGAATCCATTCTTTGTTCCTTATACCACCCCAGGTAAAACCATTACCAGTACTGCCTAGTTCAGACATATCACAGATCTCCAAAAAATTCTTAAAAGATTGAAAAGAACTATCAACACGAAGAGGACCACCTAGTTTTTCCGAGTTAGATAATATTTCATTAAAGTCTCCTATCATACACCAAGCCTCCTTTCTCAAAATACCAATCCTAGAAATCCTCTCCCATACTATAGGTCTAAGATGAGCTGCTGGATTCCCATAAACACAAGAAATAAACCAGATCTTTGAGTCATTGGAAATCTTTAAATCTATGAGGTTCTTATCAGCAAAAAGTACCTCAATGTCTAGAATATTTTTCCAAAATATTGCTAGACCTCCACTGAGCCCATCAGGTTCCACAGTTCTAAAATTATCATAACCTAACCAACCATGAACTTTTAAAAGAAAGTCATCTGAATTCTTTGTCTCCATGAGGAATAAGATATCAGGGAAATGAATTCTTCTCATTTCCTTAAGATGCCGAATTGTCCAAGGATTCCCCATACCTTGGCAATTCCAACTTAAGATGCCTAGTGATACTGCGATGGTTCACAAGGAACCACCGTATCATTGTCTCTCTTAAGATGTTTAGCAACACCTTTTCCTTTATCTAGGCCTTTCCGTTTTAAACCAACTTCAGAAGGAGCCACAGAAGCTCCTATACTTCCTTTTTTTACATAAACCTTTTTCTCTTTAGATTTTCTAACCCAAGACTCTGGTTTTTTACTAGCAGTCCCTTCTTCTAAATGAGAGCCAGAAGAGCTTGCATCTAAGCAACCAGAAGAGAAAACAAAAGATGATCCAGAAAGAGAAGTACCTGATGAAAACTCTGGAAGTAGATTGACCTGGTCTGGTAAGGAAGTCTGAGAAGAGGAAGCTTTGATTGCATCAGTCAATAAGTTTGGTGATCTTTGAGACTGATTAGAGCACGGAGAATTCATAGGAGCAGCAACTTCTTTATCTTGAGCAAAAGATGAAGTAGAAACTGAAACCTCCTTCAAAGTAACAGTCAAGCTCGGAGGAGGTATGAAAGGACATTTTGATTTATCATGAGTTAACCTCTGACACTGAAAACAGCGTTTACGAATCCTTTCATAGTCAATTCCAATCTTAACTATAGATCCATTCGGAGTTTGCACTTCCTTGAAATTTTTCAGCCCTTTAGAGACATCTAAAAGGACTCTGACTCGTACAAAATCCCGACTTTGAGCTTGTTCTTCTTCAAAAGGAAAATCAATGATCTGTCCCACACGCTCAGCTATCGTCGCAATTGTGGCCTGAGTATAGTTATTGACAGGAATATTTCGAAGTCGAATCCAAACCGGAAGGAACATCAGGTAATCAGGTGGAGGATTTTCAACCCAACGTTCCATAACTACACACCAATCATCTTGAGTCCACACACCAGTTTTCAAAACCTCAATAAGATCCGCCTCATTATTGAAGATAAACTGAAATCGATCCCTTGATAAAGCTATCCCACGAACCCGATCATATAATCTCCAGATTCTAGGCATCTCTAAGATCCATTTATTCATACGTTGATTATCAGGATTAAGAAAACGACCCAATAGACTTCGCGAATTTCTTTCAGTGGCGAAGAATTGAGGTTGATTGGAGAGAATAATTGGTTTATCCTCCTCTTCTTCAATTGACATCTCCTGAAGATACTTTTCCAATTGAAAATCCATCACGGATTTCCAATAACCAAACCAGAAAAACAGAGGAGATTTAAAGCTGAAACCTAAATAATAAAACCTTGATGTCGAGAGTCACCAAAATCAACCAAGAGTAGAGAGTTTTACTTCAACAGAGGAATTTTCAAAGGATGAAATTCAAAACCGGTCAGAAAACGAGAATATCTCCGGTGAAGGCTCTGCTCAGACAGAAGAAACCTGAGAGAGAAGTACTGAAACCCAAAGATTGGGACGGCTATGATTAAGACGGCGAGAAGAGATAACGGCTAGTTCACCTGCTAGGAGAGAGAACGGAGCTTTTTGGACACTAAATTTCCTCACACACTCTTTATTTTTTAAAAAATGTAGTATTAGAAAAATAATAAATTAAATTCTAAAAATAATATCTGCAAATGCAATGCACAAACTTGTATTAACAAAATGTAAAAGATTGTAGTTTGTTGACTTTACAATCAAAAACATTTAACCTCTAAACTACACAGAAGTGACAAAATTGATCAGTTTAGTCAAATGGAATTTTACACACTTTTTTTTACTCAAAGCCAAAAAACTATTAAAAAAAAAAAACCGGTTATCGAACACATCCACATTGAACCGGACCAGGAGATCAAAGCTTTTTTACCGCAGGAAAATCTTTTGACCATTAGCACCTGCAAGGAACAAAGCAAAAAGGCCTGTGATGGTGATGATGATGGTTATGATGATGATGATGTGGTTAAGAGTTGGACATTACATCGGTTAAGGATTTCTACGGCTAACTCCAAGAATAATCTCTCTAAATCTAGCATCTGGCTGTGTCTATCGACAAGTTCTTGTGCCTCTTTCGCTTGGAACTCAAAATTTTCTGCCTCTGCGACTACTTTTGCTACTGCGTCTATCTGAGGATTTTCTTCTGGTGCTCTTGGTACGAGAGAAGTACTTGCTGACTCTTGTGGCATTGTGGAATCTTCTCCAGTAGCTGCTGTGGTAGGAACACGTTGGGGCATTATCGTGTAGCGGTTTCCTACCTGCATTTTGCAAGTTTTTTTTTTACTGAAATGATCAAACAAAAATTCTACAAGGAAATCTTGCAACTTGCATTTAGTATGAGGCAATTAATGTATAGTTTACCTTCTCTATTTTCCTTTCAGCAATTAGTTTTTCAAGCTCGTCTTTCAATAGCTCCCTAACATTTTCCGGTATTACGTACCGTTCCTGCAATTTATACCAACCACAAGAACAACTTTATAACTAGCTAGGAAACGTAAAGAAGAGAGCATATATGATGGTTGGTGTCTTGGTGATCAAGAACAATAATAGGAATGAGAAAACCAAGACTTGTCAATTTTCTGATCCTAATGTTGCATTATCTCTGTATTGTAATCAGTTATTGACTATACACACACACAAGCTATACATGGAATCATCACCATCTCAGATCAAACCTGAAGACAGATACTTATAGAAAGGGAGAGAGAATCTCCTAACATTGTTATATTCGAAAATCCCATCGACATCACGACCAGATCCATCATGTTCATCATCGATTGTTGATAAAGCTTCCAAAACCATATCATCTAAACTTAACGTATACCTGGAAAACAAATTAAAGTAAAAAGGGGAACAAAATCTGTCAAAACATGGAGAAACAAACCATAAACCAAAGATCAATTTAAATTATTTGTGGTGAAGAATCCAAAAGGGTCACAAACTCATAGGTGACGTTCGCATCTGAAGTATCCATGGCCGCTGAAGAAAGCTCGTCACTGAAAAAAAGAGATACAAATCTATCGAAACATACCACACAAGATCAATTTAAAAGATTGCTGTTAAAGGATAGAAAAGTTAACAAACCCAGAACCAACAATGTTCGCATCTGATGAATTATCTTCAGAATCCATGGCCATTGATGAAGTCTTTTCGCTGAAAAATAAAAAAATCAAGAAATTGAAGCAGAGATTTTTGAATCGAACTCTTTGATATCCCCAGAAGCCAAGAGATCACAAACCCAGAGGAAGCGTTCGAATCTGATGAACTATCTTCATAATCCATGGCCACGTAAGAAGGCTCGTCGCTGAAGAAAGAGAGAAATAAACTGGAAAATTTTATGCCAACGCGAAATAAAAGAAAGATGTTGATCATTAGAGTAAATATCATTCGGTTTCCATGGAAGAAGATAAAGATTAACTCTATATACCTTGAATTCGATATCTTCAGAAAAACTCAATCGCAGTCGTCTCGTCGGAGAAGAAGACGTAACTAATTCTCTGTTTCCCGCTTTTCTACTTCTTTTAATTTCCAACCGAAAAAAAAAAAACTCAAAACGCAAAATCGTAAATATATAGCAATCTGATTGGGCCATTATAAGTCCTTAACGGGCCTAAAACGTTCAGGCCTATAATTAATAAAGTCAGCTTTAATCTCGACCGTACGATTGTGCTATATACGCAGTGTCTTCTCTCTCGTTTCACCAGTCTCTGATTTTTGCTGTCTTTTGGTACTAAAATCAGAAAGCTGAGAGATACTAAAAAACAATTTCAATAAAGGAAAAAAGCCCTAGCAGTCCAAACCAAAAAGTTTTCTTCTTCCATAGTTAGAGCTCCAAAACACACACAGAGAGCTGCGATAAACGATAATCGGATCGGCTGAAGCAGTTCCGATAGTGAATCAATGGCTTATGCGTCACGCATCATCAATCATTCCAAGAAGGTAAATTGTTTCTCGATTACATTTTTCTCCGACCATTTTGTATATTTTTATGTTCTTCAGCGATCGAGTATTGATATTACGAAATTAGGTTTTGCACATTCTTTCTACGTTGAGTATTATCTGAATTGGGTGTGAATAATTGTTTCTTCTTTTAGAGATTCAATTGAATTGTAATAATCTATAATTGTTTTTTACGTACAATCGAGCAATATGCTGAATTAGCTAGATTGAGAGTTTTATGATCATTTGTGATTTATGAGTCAGCTTGCTTCTGAGAGATGATTGAGATCTGTAACGCCACTTGATGTTTTTGTAATTTTAACAGTTGAAGGATATTTCGAGTTTACTGCACCGTGAGCATGCTGCAACGGTCCGATACTTCTCGAACACTAATCGAGCTCCTCTGAACAGACAAGGTAATGTTATCCTCCTTAGGTATAAATTTTTCTGTTTTTCTTTTGTTTGGTTCTATGGTTAGTATCTGTGAGACTCTCTGCTTGTTGCTTCAGCTTTTTTTTGTGATGGTCTGCAGATTCTTTCAGTGCCCGTCTTGGTTATTCCCCACTGGAAAGGGTTTCCAAATGTAGCATTGGCACTGTAAGTTTGTTGCTGTTCTCTGTAGCTGTGTAGCATTCTCTCTTCTCATTGTATCATGTTGACTAGTTTAGCAAAAAATTTAAGAGTCTTACATGGCCTTCATGTCGTTTATTCCATTATGCAGGTACCAGTGTGCGGTATTTCAACTACGAGAACAATTCTTAGTAGTGCAATGGGAAGGCCAATATTTGGAAAACAATTTTCATGGTTCAGTCTCATTCTCTTACTCTTTGTGGCCGATGTTGCATTAGCCTCAGCTGCCTGCTTGTATAGATTCTTTTTATTCCTAACTATAAGCTTATTTTTTCTGCATATCAGTTATATGCAATCAGCTAGAGGATTTTCATCGGGTTCAGGTAGTCAGCTTTTTCTCTCAGACCTTTAAAATTTGTTTTATGAGCTTTTTTCACTTTACTCTTGTTGTTTCCACATTGCTCTTACATACATATTCACAGACTCCATTTTAGCTAAGGATAATCTGTTTTGCATTGCCATTCATCTGGGTTTAGTTGAGCAATATCAGATTTAATGGCTTTCCTAAAAAAAGATCATTCCTTGGATACGCTAATTCTGTATCTGGATAACGGTTAAAGGGCTTTATTGCAAAATCCCTGCTAAGTCAGTTGCATAGTGCTTAAACAATTGTGTAACTTGAGAATGCTAAATGGTATGAGCTCTACATTTCTGAAATTGTGTTTCAGATCTGCCTCCTCATCAAGAGATCGGGATGCCTTCTCTCTCGCCAACAATGACTGAGGCATGGACCTTTATTTACCTCTTAATCGAAACTTATGTTCGTTTATCTTTACGTTCTAATAAGCTGTTTTCCCAATTTTCAGGGTAACATTGCCAGGTGGCTGAAAAAAGAAGGTGATAAAGTTGCTCCTGGGGAAGTACTCTGTGAAGTTGAAACTGTAATGTCAATCTAGATGGAATCTCATCTCCGTATTTTTTTTTTCATGTTTTGGAAATAACTCTAACTAGTTTATGTTCTGTAGGACAAAGCAACCGTGGAAATGGAATGCATGGAAGAGGGCTATCTCGCCAAGATTGTAAAGGCGGAGGGTTCAAAAGAAATTCAAGTCGGCGAGGTATGAAAATTGTCTGTAGAGTTATGTATTATGATGGTTTCTCATGGGACTCGGGGTATTGATATCAGGATCCACAGTCCATTTGTGGAAATGTTAAATGGAATTATTTGGATCATGTCAAATTTCTTTTAGCTTCTAGTAGGTAATTGCTATTACAGTTGAAGATGAAGAAGACATTGGAAAGTTCAAAGATTACACCCCATCATCTACTGCTGATGTCGCTCCTCCTAAAGCAGAACCAACTCCTGCCCCACCAAAGGAAGAGAAGGTCGAACAGCCATCATCGCCTCCTGAACCGAAGGCTTCCAAGCGTAGCGTATCTCCCACAGGAGATCGGGTTTTTGCTAGTCCTCTTGCAAGAAAGTTGGCTGAAGATAATAATGTCAGTATCACATTGTGTTAAATATATATATATATATATATATTTTTCTTAATCTTCCTGCTTAATTTTTCTTCTCGCTTACTTAAAAAAACATCAGGTGCCTCTCGCAAACATCAAAGGCACAGGTCCTGAAGGACGGATAGTGAAGGCAGATATCGATGAGTATTTAGGTATAAGTAACTCCTTGACTCTTCCTTTCCTTTCTTTTTCTTTCAGACCTTTCTTGCCTCTGTTTACAGTTATCACTCATCCTTGTGTCCTAATACATCTTCCGATGGTGCAGCTTCAAGTGGTACAGGAGCTACTGCGAAGCCATCTAAGTCAACTGATTCTAAGGCCCCAGCTTTGGACTATGTTGACGCCCCTCATTCTCAGATACGAAAGGTAAAACCTATATAACCCTTGCAGCATTGTTAAGCCAGTTTTAATAGGTTCAAGGATTCTGAAACCTCGTTAACTTTTTAATTTTGGCAGGTCACAGCCTCACGTTTGGCATTCTCAAAGCAAACTATCCCTCACTATTACTTAACCGTCGATACATGTGTTGATAAACTTATGGGGTAAGTATAAAGTCTTGGATGATGTATTTTGAGTCGCTGTCAATGGGTAAGCTAGACAAAGTGATTTTGTATATGCAGTCTGAGGAGTCAGCTTAATTCATTCCAAGAGGCTTCTGGTGGGAAACGGATATCTGTCAATGATCTTGTTGTTAAGGTACATCTTACTTGTGTATAGTTGTGTGTACTTTACATGCAAGCCAACAGATCTTTTAAAATATCCTACCGGCGTCATGCGTTTTAGGCTGCTGCATTAGCTCTCAGAAAAGTTCCTCAGTGCAATAGTTCATGGACTGACGATTATATCCGCCAGTAAGTACATTGACAACCTTTTGAACATGAATGGGGTAGCAAGCATCGTAACCTTTCTCTATAGGTTTAAAAATGTGAACATCAACGTCGCAGTGCAGACAGAAAACGGGCTGTATGTCCCTGTTGTGAAGGTGTGTGCAAAATAATGTTTAACCCTTCGCTGTAGCACAAACTTGAGATTGCTGAATTATATCAATTTCTTGATTCCAGGACGCAGACAAGAAGGGTCTGTCCACAATTGGAGAAGAAGTTCGGTTATTGGCTCAAAAAGCAAAAGAGAACAGCTTAAAGCCAGAAGATTATGAGGTGAGAGAATTCATTATCTTACTCAGTAATCATATATTTCAATAAACAGGCTAATATTCTCGTTTTCTCAGGGAGGAACATTTACAGTCTCTAACTTGGGAGGACCTTTTGGCATCAAGCAATTTTGTGCAGTTGTTAATCCACCTCAAGCCGCCATTCTAGCAGTTGGAACCGGTATGCTCTCTCTCTCTCTCTCTCACTGCAGAACCGAGTTTGTTACTACCTTACGAAAGTTCCAATAACTGATTCATGTTGTGTCTGATTCTTAAAAAAAACAGCTGAAAAGAGAGTTGTCCCTGGTAACGGAGCAGATCAATTCAACTTTGCTTCTTACATGCCTGTTACACTGAGCTGTGACCATCGCGTAGTAGACGGTAATCCGGTTCTTCTATCATCATTGATTCATTATCATTCATCATCATTGTATAAATCTAATCTTCTTCTTCTTTCTGCAGGTGCCATTGGAGCTGAATGGTTGAAAGCATTTAAGGGATACATCGAGAACCCTGAATCTATGTTACTCTAAAAAGAGAACCACACAATGGAAAAACACATCAAAGCTCGTAAGAGTCTCTGTTATTGTACGTTGAAAATCTCTGTTTCTTTCGGGTTTTTTTTTGGGATTTTTGTTTCTCTGAATAATATGGGTGGAGGTCTGGAGGGGATTCAGCATTTCTACTATAAACTGGATTTTAGCATATTCTTTGCTGGTTCTGGTTGTTCATGGAGGGCGGTGAAATAGAGTGTTGTCGTCACAAAAAAACTGTTTGTGTTTTTCTTGAGATCTTAAATGCAAAAAAAAATCCTAAATTTTCAGCTGAAACCATTGTTGAGGGTTATCCAATAACATTACATGTTTAAAATTTTAGAGGTTTAACTTTTAAGATAGATCTACTCAAAGTTCGAGGACATTTTGAGAGTTTTCGAAATCAAAACATTCTAGGATTTTTTTTTTGCGTATCTCATATATATTTTTATGATTTATTTATTTAATCAATAACATTTTTTACACATACTATTTTTTTGATTAATTTATTCAATTATGTCTAATTAACAGAATTATTTACACGTTCAAATCATATCCTCAATTTCCTTTTTCTTCTTTTTTCAATGCGATTTTTTTATTGCCCTTTTCCAGCTTCAAAATCCATTAAAGAAATATCTGATTCAGCCATTATTAATATTTATTATATTTTAAGAAATCCAATAAAAATCTTCAGCTAACTTCGTCGAAAACGAAATAAACAAATAAATAAATATAACAAAATCGAGAAGAATAAAAAAAAAAAAAAACGTTAGGCAACGAAAGCAAGAATCTCTCTTCCCGTCGGTCACGGTCGCGAATCTCTCAGGCAATCTCTCTTTCTCTCTCTCTCTCTCTCAGGCAAGCTCGTTTGAACAACTTTTCTGGTGAATTTTTTTTTGTCCCTTTCCCGTTTGATTTTAGTCGGAAAAAAATTCGTCCTTTTTTCTCTAAGGATCAACAGGGTTTTGTTCTTGATTGCTTTCTTGTCCTCAGACGTCTAGGGTTTATGTTAATTCCTTCTTCTTCTTTTTTTTTTTATCTTCTGTATTGAATCATCATAATTTTTGGATATCGGGAAATGTATGTTCTCTGAGATTTCTCCTGAATTTTTCCTTCTTATTAGTATCCTCAGATTTTTAATTTGAAATTCCTCTGCTTGACATTGGTTGCTGCATTTGAAAAATCTGTATAAGAAAAAAAAACTCAGCTTTGTCTTTCTTACATTCAAAAGTTTCTGCCTTGCATCTTTGTCTGAGTCAAATCTGTATTTTTTCTGATTTTGATGTTCAGGTTACTTGGTGAGAGGAAGTTTAATCGAGTTCTTTCGCCATGAATGCTAGTAAGTTCACAAATTGTCCATTTCTCTTCAGCTTTGTGTTTATGACACCATTATTTGGAATATGTTGTTAGCAGATTTAGAGGAACAAAGGAAAGGAAAGTATATTCTAATCCGTGATGATGTTGAGGACTCTGAGTTAGGCCATTTCTATAAGCCCCTTCCTTGCTTCGGTTGTGGAATCGGATGGTTCTCGTGAGTAGACTCTTTTTTCTTCTTATTATTGTGGATATATAGTGTCTTGCTGAAGCAAATTCTTTTTACCTGTTTATGTTAGGTTTCTTCTTGGATTCGTCTTCCCATTTGCGTGGTACGTTGCTACATTTCTATATTTGACAAACTATTACCGTAGAGATCCTCGGGAAAGATCTGGTCTTGCTGCCTCTGCTATAGCTGTGAGTTATCAGATCCAATGCATTCTCCTCGAATTTTGCTGTAAAGGAGGATTTACCAACTTATCTATTTTGCTTCAAAATTGTATGCAGGCTTTGATATTCTCTGTTGCACTTGTGATCACCGTGCTTGTGCTTGTTTTCTCGGGTCGCTAGAGTCTTGTTACACTTTGCATATTCTTTCTGAGTTTCAAAGGAAAACAACTTCAAAAGTCTGTTTCCACACCAAGTGAAAAATATTTCAATTTGATGAAGACAAATATCGGTTTCGGAGAGAAGAAGGTACTGCTAGTCCTTTTTGAATCAAAATTTGGTTTGCTTTGTACATAAGTCAGTGTATACTTTTAAACAATTGAAATGAGATATATATAACTCTTGGAGATTTATGTAGTTTCAGGCTTGTATTTTAAGCCAGACAAGAACCCTACCCAAGGTTATGTCTGGTTCTTATCTTCCTTGTTCAAAGTCTTTTCTGTCTTTCTTTTCTTATTGAACCTCAAGAAACAGAGAAAGGAATGGAATTAAGGGAAGAAGCTTTGACGATTAGGATTTGTATTGCCTCTTATGTCTAGTGTTATTTAAATCATCATCTCATCAGCATCATCATTTATTTCATAAATCACATCCAAAGATTGCAGAAAGTGTCGAGTCTTTTAAAGGACCATAACGGACGACGATAATAGTGCAAACCAAACCATCTGGTGAATCAGATTGATCTTGAAAAGACAAACACATGAGATTTCTGAAACAATTTTGCATAAGAGTTTAGAGCTTGCATTTTCTGTCTTCCTAATACACTCTCATCTCTAATAAATGGCCTCAAATGAACAAAATAGTTAAGGTCAATCCGGAAATGGTTAGAATCTCAATTAGTGTCTTTCAAGCTGAAAAGCTGCTTTCTCTTGAAAACCAAGAAGACAACAACGAGGACCTGCAACATTGCTATTAACCCAACAAAGACAAGTCCCACCGTCTTCCCTTTGTTTAAACCACCGCTTTTCAATTTCTCCGGAGGCCGAGGAGGAGGAGGAAGCCGCCGTGGCAGGTTCTTTTGGGGAGGCTGCGGAGGGGATTGTGACCTCGGTGGTGGTTTAGGTGGCGGCGGAGAAGACAGAGGCTTAATCATATCCGTGACTGGAGGAGGTGGTGGAGCAGTGCCTGTATCGACGCTCACATTGACAGGTGGTGCCGGTGGTGGTGGTGGAGGAGGAGGAGGAGGCGGCGGTGGTGGTGGAGGTGGCGGTGGAGGCGGAGGAGATTGTGGAATGAAAGGTGGGTCTTGTGATTGGACGAGAGGGAAACTATTACTGCTGAAAAACAGAGCGAGGATCAAAATATTTAGGCTCCGAGATCTGAAGAGAGATTGAAGAAAACCCATTTTTGATGAGATTGAATCAAAAAACGGTCTTCTTTGTCTTCGTCACCGAATGTGGCATCGGTAGAAAAAAAGACATAACCTTCTTCTCTGTTTTGTAGGAAAATTACAAGTCTCCGTTTGAATCAAGATTTTGTGACAAATTGAATTCAGAAGAGTCTCCAAAGAAAAAGAAAATGGATGTCACGATTGGTGGAACAATTGACCTAAGAAAAACTTTGAGAGACGGTAAAATTTCCCCGGGAAAACTCAGAGAGGGAATAACGGATTAAGGCTAAATATGGTGAAGATAAAAGTTAGTTAATTTTCCGGTAAGAAAAAGGTTTAGATTTTGCAAGTTCGTTATAATTCTATTAAATTGTTTAATATTTAAAAAAAAAAAAAAAAAAAACTGTTCATTTGTTATCCCAACAAATTCATTCCATGGAAGAAATTAATTATATATACTAAGAACCTTGCAATTTTTTAATATAAGATTTTAACTTGTAAGATTTTTAGTAAACGTTTGATCAATCTTTTTATTTTCTTTCAATTTTTACCAAGTGATAAACAATAGCATAATTAGGAAACCCAATAATTCACCTACAAATCATATAAGCATTGGCATAGAAAACAAAGAAAGAAAGAGCAAAATGCAGAGATGAAAAAATGTTTTAACGCTCCTTTGCAATCTCAGAGAACTGTACAAGAGACTTTTTCCTAGCCAATGAAAATACAAAGACGAGATTTAAATGAAATCTAATGTTTTCTGAAGTCTGATATGGTCTTTTTTTCTTGTACATGTATTCCATTGCTTGATTATGCACATCAACTTTCATCTGAAAGTGTCATCTTTCCAACAAAGCGAGCATCTAGCGCGACCCTGAAACGTTAAAGCTCAAGATATAATCGACTTAGTGATGATGCTCATATATCATGTCCTTTCACTCATCATCAGTTGTGAAAAGATGATTTTAAAACTTCAAGAATTGAAGAAACCAGAAAGCTAAGTTGAATTTCAATATGAGAAAACATCACATCAAAGTTTTGTAGATTATCTTAACTAGAGAAGAAAGAGAGTAACAGAAAAAAAGAATGTGCTTACACAGTTTAAGAATTCTGTAGTCTTCAGTTTTAGCCCCATGCCATGGAACAAGCATAGTTAACCACCAGTTTACCATCAAATCCAAAGTTCTGCACATACCAAACCAGCACCATGTAAGGAAAAAGAAGACAATCCCAAGGGTACTTATAGAAACAGAGATTCTTGATGCACAAACAAAAGACTTACATTATAAAGATCAATGACTGATTCATCAGGGTTTGGCGAGAAAGCACTATTGACATAGACAAACTTACAAACAAAAGAGCAATGTCAAGATCAAGATTAATCGCCTTCTAAACGATTCAAAATACAAATAGAGAAGAAGCTGTGTTTTGTTTACCAATGAGTCAGAACGAAGCTGTCTTCTTAGAAAGTCAATCACTTTAGCAAATTTATCAGTCCCCGGAATCTATTTACACCAACATTCACAACACACAAAGATCAATTAGTATTTTACGAAACATCAACACTCAAATTCATCAAACTAAAACATGAGATGGAAGAATTGATAAAAAGAAAGAAACCCTAATTTGCGTGGAAGACAATACCTTGAACTTAGATTGTTTGAGTATAGGAGCACCTCCAGTAGCTCTTAGATGAACAACAACTGTCAGAGAAATATAAACCCTAGAAACTATCAAAACCAAGTCCTCCGAGAAAATCTTCAACAGATATACGTAATTGAATCGATTGATTCATGGATTCCGTTGATACAATTGTCGAATTTCATCGATTAATCGAAGACTAACCTTTCCGAACAGAGCCCGGGGACGACGACTCCATCGCCATTGATGGTTTGTTTACGTAACTCAAGAAGACGACGTTACTCTATTTTTCTCGTCTATTTGGAGAAAAACAATTGAGGCTTCGTTTTGGGCTTTTAAAGCCCATATTAGATTGGGTTTGAAATAAACAATTTTCTAAAGGATATAATGTGGAACGATTAACTTTTTCTATTAGCTGAATCTGACACAAAATTTAGGGGAAAAATGTCGTTTTATCTCCCAATTTTCAAAAAATGGCCAATTAATACGTCAACTTCATATAAGGCCAATTTAAACATTAAGTAAGCGTTAACTAAACAAATGATCCATTGGATTGCGTTGACCAGGCCCATTTGCACACGTCGTTAACTCCGATAACAGACCGCTTAACGGCCGTTTAAACCCGTTAGCGTTTCTCCGTTAATGGCCAAAACGCGGTCGTTTATGTTTAAAACGAAATTATCAATCTTTAAAATCCCCAAATCAAAACAAAGAAACCCTAAAATCGATTCTCAATTCCAATTCTCAGACTCTTCTTCTTGGTCTTAATCTTCTTCTTCTTTTTCTTCTTCTTATTTTTCTTCTCCGAGTTCTCCATCTTGAGCTAAAGAAATGAGTTGCAGTTCAGGGAATTCGAATTCGAGTAATCAAGCCGGAGGAGGGCGTTGGGGACGTGGGTTTCCGTCGAAGTGTCATTGTGGGTTAGACGTCGTCATCTATACTTCGGCGTCGAAGCAAAACCCTGGAAGACCATTCTTCTGCTGTCCAACAAAACAAGATGTAAGCAGAATTGATTTAGGTTTTTTTTTTTTCGTTGATTATAGTTTTCAGATTGAAAATGCAGGAACATTTGTTTAAATGGGTCGAAGATGGCGTTTATGAAGAGGTTGTAGACGCTTTGCCAAAATTCTCCATCATTGACAGTGAGATTAACAATGCCAAATCTGAGGTTGAAATGAAGATTGAGGAGTTACAGGCTATAATCAACGAACTCAAGGAAGAAGCAATGTGGAGCAAAAGGGAAGTCAAGAAATGGAAATTGGTGATCAAATTTTGCTTGGTGTATCTTGTCATTGTGCTTGGTATCCTTATGTTCGGTAATACCAAAACACAGAAGCTTGTTTTTGGTATCTAGTGTATTTGATGTCTGGTTAATGTGTTTGTCTTTGGATTGTGTCTTTGATGTATGTCGTGTTAGAGTGTTGTGTCTTGTTTTGAGTATCATCTTGTAATGAAATGGTACTTTAGCACTGCAATATCAATATTAATTTGTCTTGATAAAATTGGTACTTTAGAACACAAGCAAAGTCTAACAACAAAACATGTCATACAATAAAAAGCAAACAAACAACAAATGCTCCTTCTCCGAGTCAAAGTTTTAAGTGGAACAGACAACAAAAACAAAAACCCCAAGACTAAGCTTAAGTCTAAAAAGTCTAAAAGTCTAAGCTTAACTCTAAAAAGAACCCCGAAAAAATCACAGAAAGTCTAAAAAGTTCAAGTGGAACACTCAAACCATGATGCTAATCCAGCAACTCCTTGTTCTTGTGGTTGAGCTTGTGCTTCTGCTTGTGGTTGAGCTTGTGATTGTGGTTGTGCTCCAGGTCCAACATGAGCTCTTGATCCTTGTCTTTGTGATGCCCTTTGTCTTGTGATCCATGAGCTCTTGATCCTTGTGAAGCTTGTGATCCATGACCCGCAGCTCTTGATCCTTGTGAAGCTTGTGATCCTCGAGCTCTTGATCCTTGTAAAGCTTGTGATCCATGACCCGCAGCTCCTTGACCTTGTGATCCATGACCCGCAGCTCCTTGACCTTGTGATCCATGACCCGCAGCTCCTTGTCCTTTGTTGGGGTCGGATTTTACCCGCGCTAAGTCCGAGTTAAGACATAACATCTCGGGACGTATCACCAAACCGGCTCGGGGAACGCTTACAAAACAGCTTGGGATCGATCACGAGATCGGCTCGGGATCTATCACGAGATCGGCTTGGGATCAATCACCAGATCACCTCGGGATTGGTCACCGGATTGTCTCGGCAAAATCATGATTAAACCGGCTCAGGACATCCTGTATCGCTTCGGGAACGGGACCCAATACACCGCCTTCCATGAGCCAAATTCTCCTCCCATCCCGAGCCGACTTCAAGAGGCACCCGCGCCAACTTCGCAAGATACCCGAGGCGAAGAACCAAGATATCCGAGCCGAAGGGAACGATGAGCTCGAACGCAGAAGACCTTCCGAGGCAAGTACTTAGTAAATATTCGCTTTCAGAAGTATCATTTCCAAGCAGGGCGTCATTTCCGATATACCCGGAAATGATAAGAGAGAATCTAGAAGGATCGACTCAAATCAGGAAATCTTCCGAAGACTACGAAGAATAAGGAAATTATCCTGATCCGCGATATTCTAGCTGACTTCAAGATAAATAAAAATCTTCCGAGAATATCGCTGGAGAGGCGGTTTATGATCGCTATATAAAGAGACTCAAGGCTCCCATAGAAAGGTGGAGGCAGGATCGCTCTATAATTTACACTACACAAAGCTCTTACAGCACAAACACCTTTTTCTTTTACGATCAAACTCTTGTACGATCAAAACTACCCTTTTTATCAATAAGATCAAGAACACCATCTTCGGTTACAATTGTTTCTGTTGTTCTTTGAGAATTCACGCTTACCGTATCCCTAAAATAAAACCCTAGACAAATCTTGATTGTGTTAGTTTCGACTTCCACATCCTTGTTGAGACAATTCTTGTTGTTCCTAATTCAATGAAATATGTGTTAGAATCAGAACATACATGATTTCATACTTATGGAAAATAAGTGTGATATAGTGTATACCTAATTTATCCTTGGTCGACCTCTTGGTCTTGGTGGTGGATTCAAAACAGTTGGATTCTTGCAGCTTTGTTTTTTGTGTCCTTCTTGTAGGCCGTTAGAGCATGTCATGATTCTCTTTGCCCGTAACATCTTGTTCTTGTTTGAAGAAGAGGCAGTTTCATTTTTTCTTTTCCTCCTGGCATAGTTACTTGGCCTTCCAAAATTGCCTTTTCTCCAAGGTGGTGGTAAGACAGGCAACCTATTCAAAGTAGGCCACAATGGCATCCCTTGGACAGGTCTAATACCATCCCTGTATGTCTCTCTCCACCTTAGCTTTGTGTAGTAGTCACTGACATAGGCTTCAACCTTTTCTTTTCTTCCTAATATCACACATGCTGCATGAACACATGGGATCCCAACCATCTGCCATTTTCTGCAACCATAAGTCTTCAAATCCATGTCAACAAAGTACCCAACACCATTCACATATATCTCATGCAAATTGTTTCTGGCCATAGTTCTCTCGCAATCAGGAACCCCAACAATCATTTTCTCTATCTCAGCATGAGCTCTCAGAGTAAACTTTGTCTTCAACCTGTCAGCTATGAGAAACCTCTTTGCAGTTCTGACCATGCATTGCCTTCTGATGTCCTCTAGTAAATCCAAAAATGGCTTTCTCCTAGCTTGTCTAATAGTCTTATTGAAAGACTCACTCAAATTGTTGAGGTTGTCATTGCAACAGGTGCCTACCCTTGTAAATTGGGACTCATGACTAGCATTTCTTGCTCTCAGAACTTTGGTCTTCGCCTTAGCACACTGATCTGGAGTTACTTCCAGTCTGTACTCTCTCTTTATCTCAGCAACCATTTCGTATTTAGTCATCTTTGGATTCACTCTCAGCCTCTCCTCAAACAAAGCTGCAATGGAAGACCGCTTCAACATCTTTGTATACCCTGACCTCACACATGTATGCTCGTTGATATACACTCTTATTTGCATCTTATGCTTCTTCTTCTCATATGAACAATAGACTCTCCAAGGACATTCAACACCTTCATCCTCAATATAGCAACACTTCCCAGCCACCATCATTGATTCAGACCTGTAGAGTTTGATGTTATACCTTGTCTTCAAAGAATACATCAATACAGCCCGCTTGAAGTCATCTGGAGAATTGAAAGTCTTCTCTAAAGCTAGCAAAACCTCTAGGTCATCTTCGTCTCTACCACCTACCATTTCTCTGTCTCTAACTTCATCCTCGTCGTCAGATGACAAAGGATCTGGAATCTTCTCATCCTCCCAGATATCATCTCCGCTGTCAGAATCAGAACCTGCACCTTCATCTATTCTATAAGCTTCTGGAAAATCTGATGCAATGTTGAGGTTAGGATCTTCTTCGACAACGTTACCATCATTATCATCGTTATCATCGTTATCTCCTTGACCTACTGCATCATCAACATCATCGATATCTTCATCAGCAAACACGGCGCAGTCATCTTTCAAATCTGGCTCAGGATCTACCTCAGGCTCATCTTCAAATTCTTCGTCTCTGGCTCTTCTTCGTTTTCGACGCCGTCCTGCAGGTCGAGCTTTCTCAACAGCAACAGTCTATGCTACGCCTACAGACACTTGTTCTACACCTCCTGACTCTGCAGCGACTTCCGCCGGTGGAGCACGAACTCCATCTCCAGTCTCTGCTTCGGGAGCTTCAACTCCAGCTCCAAAACTCTCTAATTCGCCTTCCACTGGTGACCCGATCCTCGAAATGACGCCGTTGCGTATAACTAATGGCATTTGTGAAGAGTGATTGAAGATCGACGAAGAGATTTGGGGGTTTAGGGTTAGAAGAATTAGGGATTTCGTTTTCTCAATTTGGGGATTTCTAATTTCGATTTCAATTCGTTTAAGTGTTAAACGACCGCGTTTTGGCAACAGAGAAACGCTAACGAGCTTAAACGGCCGTTAAGCGGTCTGTTATCGGAGTTAACGACATGTGCAAATGGGCCTGGTCAACGCAATCCAATGGATCATTTGTTTAGTCAACGCTTACTTGATGTTTAAATTGGCCTTATATGAAGTTGACGTATTGATTGGCCACTTTTTGAAAGTTGGGAGATAAAACGACATTTTTCCCCAAAATTTAGACGCTATAAGATAAATAAAATAATAATGTGAATAACAATTTTATCAAGTACTTGAAATATCATTTTCTTTGTCTCTATCTATCAACTTGTGGGCTTGTGGCATATGAAAGAAGAAA